AAAGAAAGAAAGAAAGAAAGAAAGAAAGAAAGAAAGAAAGAAAGAAAGAAAGAGAGAAAGAAAGAGAGAGAGAGAGAGAGAGAAAGTGCCTATCATAGAGACAGGCTGGAGGGGGGGCGGATGACAGGAGGGATACTGGGGATATTGGTGGTGGAAAAATGTACACTGGTGAAGGGATGGGTGATGGAATATTGCATGACTGAAAACTGATCATAAACTGCTTTGTAACGGTGTATCTCATGGTGATTCAGTTAAGAAAAAAAAAAAGAAAATTTAAGCTTCCGGGCTCTGGATTAAGTCCTTTAGCCTCTGGAACCATGGCTGTGCTGGAGAGCCGCTCGTGAGGGGCAACTCGTGACCTCGGTAGGGCATGAAGGACGAGCTGGTACCGCCCCCCTTCCCATGAGACTGCAGTTGCCCCATCACCACTGGGTCATACCTGGCTTTCTAATAAGCTCTGAGGTGGCGGCCACCTTGCTGCTGCGGGTGGGGTGGGGGGGGGCGGTGGGGAAGGCGGAAGGGAGCAACAACTTTTCCCTCACAGGGAGGCATGGTGCCATAGTTTAACGCATGGTCCATTTGCTTTTCTGCCACAAGCTGCTGTATCTTCAATTGTAATCTCCCCATCTATAAGCTATTGGATTCTCTTCTGCTGTTTCAAACTACTGTGGAACTTCCCTTGGTTGCAGTGTGCTGGAAATCATGCACCTCAATGTGGCACCAGGGATCCCAAATGGCAGTGCCCCCCCTCCCAATCACATTCCACATATTGAGTGGTGTCAGGGATTGAGATCTGATGCCTGTAAGGTAGATGCTCTACTAATGAGCCGTCCCTGGGCTGTTAAGCTATCTGCTTTTGTTGGTATCACATTTAGGTACTAGCTTCAATTGCAAACTGGTTGCTCGGTTTGCGTGGGGAGGGAGGTAGTTCTGCATTGGTGCTTAGGGGGCCATTTTCGATGATACCCAATCAGACATGAGAGCCTGACAGTTCAGTGGTCAGGCCTGGCAATGGCCCAGAAATGTTGGGGGCCGCCAGGACCAGCCTAGTGGTGCTCAGGGGGCACGAGGATGACCACTCGGCAGAGCATGAACAAGGCAAGAATTTACCCTTTGAACTAATCCCTGATCCTTGTGGGGTTTTTGTTTGCTTGTGAGGGGCCACATCTGGTGGTGCTGCGGGGCTACTCCCAGCTCAGTGTTTGTAGTCCGTTCCAGAAGCACTTCGTGTCTCGGAGGACAGAGCATGTATGTAGTCCTCTAACTGTCCCAGACCCCTCTGTTGTTTCTTCCTAAAGCCCCAGGACACAAATTTCTCTTCATTTGATACAGTCTTATTTGGGTCCTTGTGCAAAGGTAATTTTTGAGGTTAGTCATCAAGGTTTTTTGATAATCTCAGGAAGGCTCTTCTTACCTGCTTCTTTCCCTGGTTCTCGCTGGCAAATTAGACTATTGCTCTTGTGGAGCTACCAGCCCAATAACAATTTACCACCAAACACTTCATGTTACTTATTGGTTTTCAGGGACCACACCCTGCACTGCTCAGGGCTTAGTCCTGGCTCTGTGCTCAGGGATCACTCCTGGCAGTGCTCAGGAGACCATATGTTGCACCAGGGATCAGACTTGGGTCAGCCTTTTGCAAGGCAAGCACCTTACCAGCTGTAATACTGAAAGAGGCAGACTCAGTTTCCCCTTGCCCACTGCTTCTCGCAGCTCCATTAAACTGACTTAAGATGTTCCTGCAAATTCCTGGACTTTAGGACTGGGTAGTTTGCACTTCCCCACGACCATTAATTCTACCCCAGCTCTTGAGCTCATGGGAGATCAAGAGATAAAGGACCATATCCAAGTTGATGGTCAATTAAATAACTTACAGAACCTAAATATATATATATATATATATATATATATATATATATATACTGGGTTTTAGTCATCTCTGGAAAATGAGTGGGACTCCTCTGATACTTGGTTTGAAAAAATACCACAAAAACCCAGTTTTCCTATTTTAAAAAAAAGCACTCACGCGCGCGCGCGCACACACACACACACACACACACACACACAATGAGCCAGACATAGTCTTTTACTAAACTCCTCCTCTACTGGGGAGTTTCTTTCTGTACTTTCCAATAGACATTTCTATTTCCTAACTGAGTCTGAGCATATTTATTATTCAATATTTTCATCCTTGAAATAGTGGAAAGAACCTGGAAACCATGGACAAACACAGAGACCTGCCATCAGTACTTGTGCATCATTCTCGTGCCGATCCTCTTCTTGATTCTTAAAAACTGTACTAGATTTGCACATCCTAGCATTCTTTCAAATAACAGCTCCTCAGGATCTTCTGCTTGCTGCTCCACCAACCCAGGTGGAGCCGGCTTCTGACTGACAACACTGGGCCACTAAGGAATAGGAGACAGAACCCCTCCCTATGGGTGGGTCCCAGTGGCCTCCACACCCAACCTGTGATCTATTAAAGAACCCACATTACAGTTCCTGAAGTGCACAGTCACATAAGTGGTCATGAGACACTCTACTTAATAAAGTACATGCTGCTCACAGTTACACACAGTCATTCTTCCTGTCATTCTCTGAGGACAGGCAGAGAAGACCGAGCAACCTCTAGCTTAATGCCCTTTGGAACTTTCTAGTGTGGGTTACTACAAGACTCGCCATCAGCATATCAAAAACACTAGAAAAATCAATGGGGAAACATGTAGAAGCCCACCAAATGAGAGCAAACAATGTCGACGAAGACATAAACAATACTGGTAAATCCTCATACAACAGCTTCAGTGACACTGGCAAGGATGTTCAATGAGTTCAAAGAAACTATAGCACAGGTAGTCAGTAAAGCATAAAGAGGTATGAGAGTTAAAATTAATGACCTGCTACAATGAGAAATGACAGAAATGAAGAACATAGAAGGTTATATTTTTAAAAATCAATAAACGCTCTGAACAGCAGAATAATAGAAGCTGAGCCAAAGATCAAGGAACTCTAGATGAGAAAGAAAAAATAGTAGGTGGAAAATAGCCTGAAAAGAAATGAACAGCACTTCTAATATTGCAAACCACAGTCAGTGCCCAAATGGAGAGAGAGAGAGAGAGAGAGAGAGAGAGAGAGAGAGAGAGAGAGAGAGAAAGAGAGAGAGAGAGAGAAGTGCCTGCCTTAGAAGCAGGCAGTGGGGGATGGGCATGATGGGAGGGAAGCTGGGGACACTGGTGCTGGGAAATGTACACTGGTGGAGGGATGGGTGTTGGAATACTGTATGACTGAAATCCAATCATGAACAGCTTTGTAAGGGCATATATATCTCATAGTGATTCAATTAAAAAGTTTAAAAAAAAAAGACATAAACAGTACTAGAGATCTATGGGATGACTCAAGAGGAGCAATGTAAAAAGCACTGGAGTCCCTGAAGAAGAGGAAGGCAAATGTGATGAATCACTAAAGAAACCATAGACAAGAACTTCCCAGAGTTGAGGATTACAAGCACCAAGATCCAAGAGGCGTGCGTGACAGGTCCCAGTGAAAACAGACCCAATTAGGAAAACTTCAAGGCATATTATACTCAAAATGATAAGAACCAGAGATAGAGACAGAATATTGAATGCAGCAAGATCAAAAAAGGAACTTATATACAAAGAAAATCCCATTAGATATATAGCAGATCTATCAAATGATACTCTACAAGCTACAATATGGAAGGATATAGTACAAAAACTCAACAGAATGAATACCTCACCAAGAATACTCTATCCAACTAGATTATCATTCAGATTTGAAGGAACTAGACAGAATTTCCTGGACAGGCAACCACTTAGGGAATTCATAACCTTGAAACCAGTTTTGCAAGAAGTGTTAAAAAGACCTTCTATAAAGGACAGGAGAAATTCTCCACCTTGTGGCACAGAGTGTGATAGTCACTAATGGTGCATATGGTTGCCCTCTACTAGATTAAGAAAGGTTAAAACATATAGCATCTCATCATAAATTGACTTATTGATTTATTTTCTGATAATTCTATTCGCCATTCCTTTAAGCTTTATTGGACAAAGTAATATGAAATAAATTTGCTATATGCCTGATAAAGGGGTATGGTGGAGTGGGTGTGGGTTGGGAGGGAACCTCGGCCTATCCATGGAGGGAAGGTAACATTGGGGTGTAATGAGTGTTGGAATGTTGAGTGCCTGAAACAATTCTATTACGAATAACTGTAAACCAGTGTCTCAATAAATATGCCACCCCTACCCCCAAGCAGATCACCTATTGTCGTTTTCCTTAAGTGCATGGTGAACTGTCTTTTAAATGTTCTGGACAAAGTGGTCATGGAGATAGTTCTATGGACTGAAATGCATGTTTTGCACGCGAAAGGCCCCAAGTTTGGTTCCTGCACACTGCATCCTCGTCCCCTCCCCCCTGCCAGCTTCAATCCTGGAAGCAGCAGCATTGCATCAAATCACAGAAGTAGATCTGGGGTTTCCTAAGCATTGCTTGGTAGACCTCCTCCACAAATGTTCTGTAACAAAATTGAGTTTTCTTATTATAGTTCATGTGAATCTTCATGTCACTTTGGCTTTATGAAAGTAGTTGGAGTTAGGTATGCATAATATTCAATAACTAAGGCCAGAAAATATTAATTTAACCTAAAAAATTCCATTATCAAGTGAAACTTTCATCATTGTTATCACTGTCACTGTCCTCCCATTGTTCATCAATTTATTTGAGCGGGCCCAGTTATGTCTCCATTGTGACACTTGTTACTGTGTTTGGTATATCGAATACGTCTTGAGTAGCTTGCCAGGCTTTGCCGTGCAGGCGAGATACTATCGGTAGCTTGTCAGGCTCTCAAGAGGGGCGGAGGAATTGAACCTGGGTTGGCCGGGTCGGCCGCGTGCAAGGCAAACACCCTACCCGCTGTGCTATTGCTCCAGCCATCATCATTGTTATATGTCTAAGAAAAGGTTCACACTAAATGAGTAGTTAAAATAATAGTTAAAATATCTCCTCATGTACTTGACTTTCCCAGTAAAAGTTTGTTAATAATTTTAAATAAACTATTTCTTTACTGCAATGACAGAATTATTTTTAGTACACAACACATACAATTACTAAATACTTAAAATTATTTTACAAATTTAAAAATTTTAATCTTGAATTTGGTAATTCAAAGTAAAGAATTTATATTTGCATTATAAACAAGTGTAAAGAGAGTGGTATCTAATTCTATTCTAATCCTGAAACCATTTTAAAGAATCAAAGGGGAATAACTAGTTAAATGTATTTACACACATTTGGCAGAGAACAAATGACTATATGTCAGGGATATTTTACAAGGAACTTCCATAGGGTTCAGACGTTAGGCCAGTGTTGATGACTTCTAAGGGCCTTCTAATTCATAAATTCTATGATGCTACAATTTTCCTAGCAGTCCTATAAAGTTATTTTTTCCTCTATTACTATCAGATAATCTCACATTTAAAAGGATATATTAGAATGGTATGTCTTTAAAATAAAGTTTTCAGAATATGCTGCAATTCACATGGATCTTCCTTTTTATCCCTCAGATTGAGACCAGGACACTGTTTGTTTCAGACTGAATTTCACTAGGCTGAAATAGAAACTATTTTAGCCTAAGTGCTCCATTTTGGCAACATCATGAACAACAATAGACAAAATTAAATTTTAAAACATTCAACAAACGTTATATCGCAAATTCAGAAAAACGCACCTATTCCTCAAAATCCCTATGCCAAACTATGAAAAATTAAATGGAAAACATTGGTATGCATGCTGCTTACTTAATTCTTTCCAAAAAGGGACTTAAGTCTGTTATGAAAGAATGTTTCTTCACGTTAAATCATAATGTTAACAAGCTAACTATGATTACCACTTTCATAATTCAACGTCGAAATCTTGATTCTGGGGACATACAAAGAGATTATAATTTCTTTTATATAGATGACAATTTGGATCAAAAATACATACTTGACAAAATATTACCCAATTAATTATATCCTGGAATTGCTCGACAGGTGAAACGTAAATAGAGACTGTGGCTCCAAACGCTCCAAACGAGTGACGACATCTGTAAGTAACTACAAAAAGTTCTCTGGTTCTTCAATAGCTCTAAATGCTCTTAGGCTATTTATCTTCAAGTATAATAATTTCTATTTTTGAAATGCTGGTTCATAAAAAAAATCAAATCTCTATGAACCAAAGTACTATCCATGAACAACACTGAAAACCAACTTTACAAAAGACATTTGCCCACCATAGTTTCATATCTTTAATACTGCCATAAAAGGTCTGATATTTTTCAACTACCTCCGTGAACTCTATATTTCATAGGGTTCTAACAGCTACTAAAATTAAGCAGGTAATTCCTATGGCAGTATTTTTTTTTTACTCAGAATATATTTTCATTTCAAATATGTGTAAAAAATTTCTCACAAAGTGAGAAACCACTTAGTTTGAAAAGAAACTTCAGTTTAAATCTTAACATTCAGTAAAATAAACACATATTAGATTGCCTTTGAATATAAATCACTCATTGAAGTAAAGGAGGTAAATGCTAATGTATTAAAAGTTGAATTTTTTTTTCAGATTACAAGATAAATGGTACTAATCAAACTCTACTAATGTATTTGTTAGAGATCTGGCAAATTCCACTGGAAAACCAGGACTGTTAATTAGGGGAATCCTTAGAGAAACAGAGAGAAAAAGATATGCCATGGATCAGGCCCTCATTCTTACTACTTCCTTGACAACACTGCCTATCTTGTTTATTGAGGAATGCTTCTTCCATTGGAGACACACTTCTGATTTTACAGCCCTACAGAGTGAAGGGACAGCTGGAAGGTGGTGGGGAAAGGACCCACCTGAAAAAAAAAATCCATCCTTATAAAGCTATTATTTAGACATAAGGATTGGCAATGAAATATTTTCTGCTCTGAAAATCTTTTTTTTAATACTGACTTGCCAGTTTGTCTGACAATGATTAAGAAAGATAAGTGATCTTCTAATTTTACAAATAATAATGTGAAGAAAATATATTCTGAGAAGTTATGTCCCATGATCTCACCCATACTTGATTTAAAATATAAGTACTCTCAATAGAACTGCTTTGTTTAAATTTTAAACGTTAAACTTAAATCATATTTACTGTATTGCTTTCATTCTTGCATTTTTACATTACTTCTATAAATACTCATATAAAAAAAAAATTCCCCAATCTTGAAACCTTCTCACATGGAAGTTCTGAGGTTAGTCTGTAACCTTTAAAATAGCTAAAATGTAGTAACCCTGAAATTACAAACAAAAAGTTATCATTTTACAGTATATAACTAATTTATTTTTTTAAAAAAATATTCTGAATTGTTTCCATACAAGTAATCAAGTGTTATTTCTTCCAAATGGAACTCCTTGAAAAGGCTAGAAGAAGACAGCATGTGTGGCCTCTCGCAAAGCGTCACGCACTCATTCCCTCAGGCCGGCACCTCCACTATCTCGAAGTAGTCGTTGGGCAGGATGACATAGCCGCGCTCAGGCGCGTCGTCCTTCTCCCGCTGGAAGTGCACCACCTCCTTCAGCTTCTCCAGCTGCCGCTCCTGCCTTCGGCACCGCTGCTGCGCAGTCTTGAGCTTCTTCCTGAGTTTCTCAACTTGCTGTTCCAATTGATGGATCCTTTTTCTCTGGTGCATTGTATCCTCTACAGTGTAGTTGTGGTCACAGAAAACGGAGAGATTATCAGGGGTCTGAAGAGGAGGCATTAGCAATCCAATAGCAGCGTCCACCTGGGACCCAGGAGGTGTTAGAGGTGGCGGTGGAAGCTGTTCTTGTGGCTCCAGCAGTTCTTCCTTCTGAAACAGTCAGACAGAGCAGGTTTGAATTTAGTCATTAAAAAGAACAAGCTTGGGCTGGAGCGATAGCACAGCGGGTAGGGCGTTTGCCTTGCACGTGGCCGACCCAGGTTTGATTCCTAGCATCCCATATGGTCCCCGGAGCATTGCCAGGAATGGTTTCTGAGTGCATAAACCAGGAGTAGCCCCTGTGTATTGCCGGGTATGACCCAAAAAGAAAAGAAAAGAAAAAAAAAACAAGCTTTTAAACATTTATTTGTGAAATTTAATTAGGCTCTGTGATTTCTTAGTATAGATAGGTTCCAAATGAGAAAATAGTTATGCTAATAGTAATTATATTTTTCTACCTGAAGTAAACAGAATGAGACAAGAAACAGAATGAGTAATAAGGTTTAATTAGATACTGAGCACTGAAAACTGAAGGGAATAGGGACTGAAGCAATAGTAGATGGGGTGTTCATCTTGCAGGTAGCTGATCTGGTTTGATCCCTGGCAACCTACATGGTACCGAGCCCCACCAGAAACCATCCTGAGTACACAGCACCCCTGATGTGGCTGAAAAAAACAAAACAACAACAAAACCCAGAAAGGTATAACATTTTACAAACAAAACTTTCACCGATAAAGAAAGAAACAGACATGGCAAAAAACCAGCCCAAGTAGTACACCAGGTCCTTTGGCCCCTGCACTGAACCACTAATCTGACTAACAACTAGTCAAGAACATAGAGGCAAGACCACCAGCCCTTTACAAGAAAAGAAGAAAAGAAAAATACATCAACATACAAGGGGTACAGATGACCTCAAATCCAAAAGCCACCTTGAATTTCTTAACCAATAAACTGTATTTATACTTTTAAAAAGTATACCACAATTAACAGTAGCTGTTCACAAGCTGTGGTCAATAATATTTAACACCATTCAAAAATTTTCAAAGATATTAATTTCATAGGAAACCACTCAGTATTTAAAGGGGCTCATTACCTTGTCATGTGGTTCAGTACAGAGAAATATTGTGGGCACAGCGTTCTCCTTTAGTAACTTGTTGTTGCATTCTCTCTTAAAGCAGTCTGGAGTAAAGTGTTCTGAACAGATACTGCTGTACTTGGTTGGCTTAAAGTTTTTTCTTCTGACAGCTGCCTCCCATTGTTTACAAAGACTAGGTCGAGTAAGAGGAAACCTAAGAAGAAGACATAATTCAGTTCTTTGACCTTATTTTCCAAACTTTTCTGAGTAAGAAAGAACTACCTTACACTGGTGCCAATTTTGTGGTTAACCAAGGATAATTATCTGATTAGAACGGGGGGGGGGGGGGAATAGAGTTCAGTGGTCCAGAGTTCTATATATAGGAGACCCTGAATTTAATCTCGCGCACCAAAACAATTAAAAGTCTGTATAAAACAAAATAGTACCTTTACTCTATCTTATTTACTCATGTTTAATGTCTGATATTTAAGACACAAAGTTTCAAGTAAACAAATAGGAAGTGTGTTTTTTCCAGTGATGTTGTATACTATGCTAAGAAATTTTATATAGGGCTGGAGTAAAGGGTAAGTCATCTGATTTGCAAGTGACCGACACCCCCACCATGAGTCACTACTGAGTGCAGAGCGATGAATGTGCTCTGAGCATCACCAGGTATGACCTTTTCCCAAGACCTCCCAGCTCCAAAAAAAAAAAAAAAAAAGCAACTTTATTTATCTGTGTAGTAAAAAGCTGAAGCTTCTAGTTCTCCTACAGTGTCTGAAATTATGACTTAATCAGGGCAGGGGAGATAGCTCAGAGTGTGTGAGGGCACGTATGGATATTAGAGGCCCCAGGTTTGATCCATGGTACTACACGTCCCTATCTCCTCCCAGCACCAAGAGACCAGCACTGAACCACTGAGCAGCAAGGCCAGGCCAAGTAGGTGTGGCCCCCAGGCCTCCAAAACACTGCACTTGGAGCAAATTTTTAAAAATATATCAATAAAATTATAATAAAATTAAGCATTATTTTTATTTACTACTTAAAGAGCTGGAATAGCTTCATTAGTCTCAGATAAGGGGAACTGTAAGAGTTTAAATTTATTGTGATTTTACTTCCTAGGTCAAGGGTTTGGTCAACTGAGGAATTGGGGGAAAGGCAAAGAAAGATATGTTCAGCTCTATGCTGCATACTTTCTCTTCCATATACACTATGTTAGAGCCTCACGGCTGTTACATGAAGATCTCAATGACACCACATTTCATTTTCCCAGTAGAGCTCTTTCCAGAAGTCCTACATAGGAGTTGGGGGCAGAGGGGCTGTCAGATCCCTATTGGAAATGGCATCAAGAAGTACAACCTATTACAGCAGTCACTGATGTAATAACTCAGCACCTAGCACTGAAGGACTACATATATTCAGATTTATGAGGTTCTGTCAAAATCCTTCTCATCTCCTGTCCCCAAAACGTTCTTTCATAAAGCATGAGGCTTTAAAAGTGGGCTAGCCCTTTTGACTCACTCCATAGCAGACACTACTTCTGTCACCTGAGCATCATACTTAGTTTTATATTTTTAGATTCTCTTTTGATTTCATTTCATTTTCATTTCATCATCCTGTTATTCGTCGATTGCCTCGAGCAGGCCCCAGTAACGTCTCTTTCATCCTAGCCCTGAGATTATATTCAAGGCTATTTAGGAGAATGAGACCCATCATTGTTACTGGTATTTGGCATATTTGGTACGCCACGGGGAGTTTGCCAGACTCTGCCCTGTGGGCAGGCTACATTCGATAGCCTGCAAGTTTGTCCAAAATAGGAATGAGACAATAAGATGTCATAAAAAAGGTTCTGATAAGATGTTGCGCGGCCGCAAATGCGGCCGCGCGGTTCCAGGATCTGGATTTTATAGTCTCTGAGTCTTGGCTGCTGATGGGATTACACGGCGCCAGGGGGCCAGGTGGTGGGTGTGACCCCCGCCTACTGGAATTTGGAGGATCTGGGTGGAAGATGCTCGACTCCAATTCGAGTAGGCTTGGTGGTCTCGGCCCCGGAACCCGCGTGGCTTTGTCCCTCTGCCAGTACCTTCATGTGTGCAGAGAGTGGTCTCAGCATGGTGGTGGCTTTCCTCCCCACCCCGACCAGGGCTCCGGCAGCCGAAGACCTCCAGGACCAGCCACCACCATGCTGAGACCACTCTCTTTTGATGTTATTAGAAATATCAGTTCTGTTATCTCTCCTGCCATACTTCTATTCTACACTTCGTAAGAACTGAATTCTGAAATGTTCTAGTTCCTCCTCCATGGCAGAAATATCCACATTCTCAAGATCTCTCTGTGCTTCAGAAACTCTATTTCTGTTAGTTCCTTTGTAGTATACCAGTTATATAATAATGTATCTACACCTGTGGGTTGGAGTGATAGTAGAGTGGGTAGGGCGTTTGCCTTACACATGGCCAACCCAGGTTCAATTCCTCCGTCCCTCTGGGAGAGCCTGACAAGCTACTGAGAGTATCCCGCAGGCATGGCAGAACTTGGCAAGCTCCCCATGGGGTATTCAATATTCAAAAACAGTAACAAGTCTCACAATGGAGACATTCCTGGTGCCTGCTGGAGCAAATCAATGAACAACGGGAGGACAGTGCTACAGTGCTACCTGTTAAAAGTAAATGATGTCAATCAAAGAAATTATCACTATCAACAACAAAACCACATCAACCCACCCTCAAAATCTTAAGAAATCTTTCTTTCATGATTATTTAATATTTGCATAACGTATCACTGGTTCTGATTTCTTGATTGTCCATTTATAGTTGGAAATTCTTGCAAACAAACTAATGTAAAAGTGTTAAAAATATTTGTAAATTCTTTGTTTGTTGAACCAAAATGCCAGTGTGTTTTATTCTGCAGAAATCTGATTATCTTTAAGCAATTTCCACTTACAATTTCTTCTCCCATCTTCAGGAAACCATTTTTCCCCCTCGGGGGCCTTTTGAGGACTGGAGACACCGCATCTGCCTCCTACGCCGCCTCTGTCAGCACCTCTGGGAGAAACAGCCGCCCGCGCCCGGCCCCGCCTCGTAAGGCCCCGCCCCCTCCTCGTAAGGCCCCACCCACCTTCCCGGCCCCGCCCCGCCCCGGTCTCGCGCGCACGAGCGCCCGGCTCCGCCCCTGAGCCCAACCGGCCGCGCGCCCCGGACCCAGTAGGCACCGGCCGTGGCAGGGTAGCGGGGTACTTACTTGTGGAAAGACACGGGCTTATCCTTATCGTATCGGTTCTTGCAGCCATAGGCGGAACAGGACTGCACCATCCTTTCGGTCCTCAGTCGCTTCCCTTCTGCTGCCCCTGCAGGCAGGTGAAGCTACAATCAATGTCGCTGCGTCCCGCTTTGACACCTTCAGCTGTTCGGTAGCTTTGGTCGACAGTCACAGTGATGGTGGCCTCCCTCGGGGGTGACTAAGATGCCCGTTTTGTTGTTTGCTTTAGCAGAAAGACCACAGCCATCGCCCATCTCCCGTCTCCAAGATGGCGGCGGCAGCTTCAACCTCACCTCTCGCGAGGAGTGAGTGCGACTGTCTCATTAGCCCCGAGGTCAGAGGTGACGTTCCCTGGGAGGCAGGCTATTGGCTAGTTCCCTTGCGCGGCGGGAATGGGCGGGATCTCTGAGCTTCCGGAGGGGAGAAAGTCCCAGGGCTAACGGAGCGGGAGCTGGGCCTCGGCCGCGGGTTGTGTCCCCTTAGTTTCGTTCGTCGTGGTTTGGGGCCCGCCGGTCTCCAAAGGGTCACTGCCCCTGGCCGTGCACGCCGTGCGGTATGGAGCCGGCCGGGCCGTGCTCTGTGGCGGCTGGCCCGAGGGGATAACCGCGGGCTCTCTGGGTGACCGCACCCCTTTCTTGGCAGGGCCCGCAAGAGGTGAGATTTCGGGGGTCCCCGCTGGTCCAGGTGCCGTGCTGGGAATCGCCGACGCCCGTAGTCTTCGTCCTTTCCTTTTAAAAATGTTTTTGGGCCACAGCCGCAGGGCCAGGGATGGAGTCCAGACCGGCCAAGCGCTGGAGAGAAATGCTACCTTGTTGCCAAGCGCCCGTCACTCTTCGGGGGCTGAGATGCCCGTCTTGCCCCTCTTGCTGAGCCCCCGTTACTGTTCGAGGGCTGAGATGCTCGTCCCGCCCCCTTGCTGAGCGCCCGTCACTGTTCCAGGACTGAGATGCCCCGTCCCGCCCTCCCACTTGCTGAACGCCCTTAGGTGTTCGCGGGCTGAGATGCCCTGCTCTCCTTGCTGCAGGTTTCCGTTGGCTCCAGGCTCTGCGCTTCCCACTTCCCACGCTTGACACTTGCTCGACGTCAGATGTCTTGTGCTCACAAAGATCTATTCTGCTCTGAATTAATTACCTGTCCAATTTGTGTATGTCATAAAGCAAGGGGCATAGAGCCTGTCCTCCCCTCAGATTCCTGGTGACCAGCATATTTGACAGGCGATAACCATGACTCTTCCCAAGGCCAGCTCCAGCCCTCTTGCCCGCTCCCACTGCCCCAGGTGGCCACCTCTGTTCCCGAGGTCCGAGATCGGATGGGCTGCCCGCGGCCCGTGGTTGGAAAGGCATGGCCTGTTCTCTCCAGGCAAGACCTAGACTCGATAAAATCAGGCCCACTGCTGGGGCATCTGTAGACTCGTGGTCCTTGCTGGAACCGAGGCTCGTTTCCCACTCAGCCTTAGCCCCAGTGTGCGTGTGTGCCTTCTGTAGCTGGGAAACTCGGGCTCATTGGGCCCAGAATCCAGGTGTCACGCTAGTTTAAGGGATTCAGAGATTCTGTTGGCTGAGCTGCGTCCTTACATGCAGAAGTCTCAGCTTCCATCCTTGCACGGACCACCACCAGGAGTCCCAGGAAATGCCCCAAAACAAAATTTTTGTGCCTTGGGGCTCCGTAACATGCAGTGCTCGGGGCTTACTGTTGGCAGGCACTACACACAGCGCTCACTCCTGGCGGTGCCTGGGTCGAGTGGCACCTGGCAGTGCTTGGGCTATTCCTGGAGTGACCCTTGGCTGTCCTTAGGGGACCGTATGTGGTGCCAGGGGTCGAACCAAGAGTTGGCTGCATGCAGTACAAATGCCTTACCTCCTGGACTGTTTTTCAGTCCCAGCTTGAACATTAAATTGAACATTTAAAAAGGATAGTGGTCTCACTAAAATGAAGATGGCTTTTACAGTAAGGAGAGTTCTATCCCCTAGCAAAAGTAAACTAGAAGTCGGAGAGAGGTAGGGATGATTAAGGCGGAGGAAAAGTCAAAAGAAAAAGGAAATGTAAGATAATTCTCAAGAGGTTGGAAATGCAGATTGCTGACGCCTGTGCAGATAAGCAGTCTTAAATGTTATCAATTTAAAGTGAAAATTCATTCAGTGGTTATTTGGTTAGATTTTCCCCCAGCCAAGTTCTCATCTTTGTTAGCCTTTTTTCTTTTACTCTGTCCTAGATATCTGTAACATGGAGGTGAAACATTTTTAAAAATTATCGTTTCCGGGCTGGAGGAATAGCACAGCGGGTAGGGCATTTGCCTTGCACGTGGCCGACCCGGGTTCGGTTCCCAGCATCGCATATGATCCCCTGGGCACCGCCAGGAGTGATTCCTGAGTGCAGAGCCAGGAGTAACCCCTGTGCACCGCCGGGTGTGACCCAAAAAAAGCAAAAAAGAAAATATATATATATATTGTTTCCTTTCTTCATAATGGTAAATCAACTGGTATGGTGAATTGATCTATTTGAAAAATACACATTAAGGCTTTATCCATGTTGAATGTTGAATCTTTCTGTGTATATCATTCTCAATGTTCAACTCTTAATTTTAATTCCATCCTTATTAAGCGTTCATAGTAGACTGACCACATTAAATGTTTCTTCAAAAACAGAAGCATTTCTCTTTTTCAAGTTTATCTCAGTAACAACAATTAGAAGTGAGAGGTATGATAGTAGATGTACTTTAGTGAAAAGCCATTACAACCAGCATATTTAATGCTATTTCAGGAATCCTGAATTGTTAAGTAAATAATATCCAAGAAACAAAAATAGTATTTACTTTTTAATTTTAGATGTTGCTTTTATTCAGAGAATAATTGCTTGACAAACTCTTAAATCATAATCTGTCAATCCTTTGCAACAACTCTGAAGCAGGTATGACACAGGGCTTGGGAACCAACACAACCCTTTTTTCCCTGTTTCTCTCACACTAACTGGAGTAGCAGGCATTTAGAACAGTTTTTTTCTCATTGTTCTCCATGGAGTTCCAAATTATCTGCTCTGGGTTGCAACACTGAAAAAGTACAGTATTGTTTACAAAAGCTTATATTGTTGGCTTTGATTTATATAATTCGGCTAACTGAATTAGAAGTATTATTGTATTTTCAAATACTGATTCACTTTAAATACTGTCAGATTCCTTCTATGCACGATCAGTTAAGATAATAAGGAGTTATAAAATCCTGAAATGTCAGCATATCTCCTTATTTTAATGAAACTTTAGATCACACAGTGTTTTATTACAAAATTTGGTATAATACACCTCTACCAATAAAGCTACAAGGATTTCCAAACATTACAATAAAATTATAACAAGAAATGTAGAATTTGAAGCAGAACACATGCACAGAAAATTATATCCTTTCTAAAAGTGATATTGCTGTTGCCTCATATCACATTTGTAACTGGTAGGAAGTGTGTTTCCACTCTGTACAAAGTCCTCAGCCGTCCATTAAGTTTTTAAGTTGGTAACTGCAGCTAAAATGGTTTTCTATTAAAGCATGCTATCCCAGTAGACATTTGATTACAAATTACAGACTCAAGAATCATGAAAGCCTGATATGTTATCTTTCTCAGCCTCTTCAGGCATCATCCTCATGTCACCAAAGACCACCAAAGATTTTTCTCAATTTTCAGCCTAACAATCCATTTTAAAAATCCAAGTAAATTTAATAACAAGCACTTTAGTCACCTAATTTGTGTGTGGTTTCAGACCAAAAAAAAAAAAAACTTTGGGGAGAGGGGTGTAAAGGGGCCACACTCTACATTATCAAGGCTTACTCCTTGCTCTGTGCTCAGGGATCACTCCTGGCTAGCTCAAGGGTCCTCATAGGGTGCAAGGCAAATGCCCTACCTTCTGTACTATCTCTCCCACCTCCTATAGGCAGAAACACCTTTTATCTATAAAATATAAGAATGTCATTTATTAAAAAGGTGAGACCCTACCTTTTTTTTGTTTGGTTTTGCTTTTTGGGTCACGTGCCCAGCGATGCTCAGGAATTACTCCTGGCAGTGCTTGGGGGTACCATATGGAATGCCAGGGACTGAACTTTGGTCAGCCACATGCAAGGCAAATGCCCTGCCTGCTGTACTATCACTCTGGCCCCTGACCCTTTTTTCACAATATTGTCTTCAGACTAAAAAAAATCAAGAAACTGCTTTTATTATCATTGTTATAATTTAGCATTATTGTTTTCCCCCACATCAACAACTTTATCCTAGGTCCAATTTAGAAAACATGGTTATGAAGCTTTATCGTCTCATTATTTAAGTTAATCTGATAACTAATGTTCTTGGTTTTTTCCTCCCCAACTGTACATGTGAGACTCCCGAATACACAAATGGATAGTAGGACTATTCATGCAGGTGACAGAGCTAACACTGACACCTGTGCCGGGCAACCTTGCTGGCCAGTTCACTAATGAACAATACCAGTAGAGAGAATTTGGGATTCATAATACTGACCATTTTGAGTCTTTTCAAACAGAAAATCACAGAAGAGAAATGTACATACTTAGGGCTCTAACCATCTAACAACCAACTTAACTTTCCAGTTGAATCACCTCATGCAACATTTTCTCAGTCAGCAGAAGACCTGAATAAACGAGGCTTTATGCCACCCTCTAGGGATAGTTTCAACAAAGTGTGCCAACAAGAGAAAACCAACCATATTTGCCCACTTGTTGGGACAGCTCCCCAGTCATTTCTCTTGTCAGATTTAAATAAAAGTGTTCCTAGTTCCCTCCCAATACTTGTGATGCTCAAAACCATGAAGATCTATTTTTCTCAGATATGCATGAAACTATGATGTGTTTGCAATATTACCCAGGTTCCTAAAATTTCCCTTTTACCAATTTATTATTCTCATAAAATACCAAGCTCTAAATATCAAATATGCTGATTTGAAATAAATGTAATATCCATTGGTGAAATTTTTTTCTGTAAACCAGAAGGTAAAATCAGTTCTAATTTCAATTTCAGCTGAAAAGAATATCAAAAAAGCAGAACTGTTCTGAATGCACAAAACTGCACTAAAATATTTTACCTCAATATTGTATAAGGCTTTATTGTCAAAATATTTAAATGAATGTTATAGCAATATATATTATATAGGTTGATAACCAAAGGAAGAAAAATAGACAAGGTGTATATTCTTACTATTTTAGTATGCATCCAATTAATGTGAGAGAATTTGGGGAAAATAAAATTATATAAAAGCATCCCTTTTAGGGGCTGGAGAGATAGAGCAGGTGGAGTGCTTGCCTTGCCCACTGCCAACCAGGTTTGATCTCTGGGAGCCCGAGCCCTGCCAGGAGTGATTCCTGAGTGCATAGCCAGTAATAACCCCTGAGCATTGCTAGGTGTGGCCCAATCCTCCCCCACAAAATTCAAAAAATAAATTTCACATTTCCCCCAGAGATTTTACAGACAACACAGAATCAAGATACAGTTCTAAGTGATTACAGTTCGAACCTTAATAATAGAACCTGCAACATGTAAAAATTCCAGTCATATATTATCCAGGCATTTGCAAAGTGATAATCAAGTTTTTGTCATGTTGTGGTTTCAGGTACATAGGATAATCATGAAATGCCGCTGTGGGTCTTTAGTTTTACATACTCAAATATTTTAGTAAATTGTTTTTTCATCTGTTTAGTCTCTGTGTTATCACTTCTCGATACATAATAGAGATGTAGATTAGCAACAAAAAGATGACAAAGAAATCATCTAGAAATCCTAAGATTCCAAACAAGGCTTCAGGTACAAAATCTAGAGGTGATATAAGATAGAAAAAAGCTCCCATTAAACAAAGTATTATCCTGATACGAAACATCCAGAAAAGGCCCCCGACTGAAAACATTTCCCTGAATGCATGCCTCAGTAAAGTGGGTAGATCCATAATTCTTTCCAGAATCTGGTAGGGGAAAGAAAAAATATTATGACTTAAGTAATCAGACTTCACAAAATACAATTTTCTTACAAGCTACAGATAAATATAGTTAACGATAATTAAGGAGTTTTGCATATTGTAGATTTTCTAGTAGGTAATTTGTTTTAAAGATAGTTTTTGAGGGGACTGGAAAGATCTAAGAACAGAGTGCTTGTCATGCACACTGCCCACCTACGTCCAATTCCCACACCACATGTTCTCGAGTCACACCAGGAGAGATCCCTGAGCACAGAGCCAGGAGTAAGTCCTGAACACTGCTGGATGTGGTCCAAAAATTAAAACAAAGTTACTGGGTGCTCATAAAATAGATCTCACAGCAGATAACAACTAAAAAGTGGAAAATTTTGAAAGACAGAATATAGATATTCAGTAATAATGATATAGTAATATACTTTAAAATATAGTAATATATTTAATACATACTTAAGCATACAGTAATGCCAAACTGAAGTACTGCTATTTTGAGTTAGGAAAAATACAAATCTCGTGTTCCAGGAGCAGAGTCTGGGACAGCTTTAAAATTAGTCCTTCCAGGGCCAGGGACATAGCTCAGTGGGAATAGATTTCATTTTGCAAAATGGGGCCCTGGGTTTTTCCCAGCACCCCAATCAAGTCAGACCATCTGGGTTTGAATTAAAAGCTACTTATTAGGTGACCTCCGGGAAAGTATTTTAAGATACTAGAAAATATTTTTTCTTTATAGTCAGATATTATATGAATTTATCTTTTCATTTTATTTTATAAAGATTATGCACTATAAATATACATTTTAAACATTAAAGTATGGGTGGAGAAACTTTTTTTGCCAAGGGTTAACTGGATATTTATAAGACATTCATAGGCCACACAATCTAGGCAGAGGGGCTACCAGCAGCTAATGAGAAGCCCAAGTGACTGTTTCATCATGTACAAAGGCCAGACCACATGACTTAGCAGGCCTTCTGTGGCCCACGAGTCAGATGTTCCCCTCCCCTAATTTAAAGCACAGTGCAACAGATTTTAGTATATTCATAGAGTTGTACCTCCCACATTACAAACTGACTTTGAGAACATTCCTGGCTTTGTAAAAAAGCAGTTCCTAGCTGAAGTCAGAGTTGCAAGGTTCAGGTTCTTGCCCCATATTGAGAGTGAGTACTACATACGGCTCCCCGAGTGTCCCCCTCAACCAACCCAAACATCAATTTTGATGGCTTTGACAATCTTAAGAATAGCATTGTTAGCTTAGCTTGGGTTTAAGCAAATTAGTAATTGCCAGAGTTTTGGAATGCCTTTCTGAAAATGTACACATCACTCGATTTATAAATGAGCACAGCTTTCACAGATAAAATTTAACAAATTATATTAATTATTTTTTAACTGAAACGTGGAGAAATTGGAATCCTAATACACTGTTGGTGAGAATGCATAGTCCCTATGGACTATTTTGGCAGTTCCTTAAAATGTTAAACATAAGAGTTATCTAATAATTCCACAACTACAAGAGTAATGAAACACATTCACATAAATACCAGTACATGAATATTCATTGTAGCATTATAGTAAGAACAATTCATGTCCCTTAGTTGATGAATGAATAAAATGTATATTATTTGACCTTAAAAAGCAACACAGAACCTGAGATGTTATAATGTAGTTGAACCTTAAAAACATTATTCTAAGTGAATTATGCTAGATGAAAAGGTGTTATTGCATGATCCCAGTTTAACAAAATGATGAAATAGCCAATGTATAGCAACAGAAAACTGATCAGCAGTTGTTAAGGTGTCAGGAATGAGGAAGGAAAAGAAAATCAGAAGGGATTGCACTAAAGCTTTTTGGGTGATGAAAATATCTAAAAATATCTAAAAAATTGTTTTTCTTCTGACTACACCTGGTGGTGCTCAAGGTTATTCCGGGTGCTTGGGGGATTACTCCTAGTGGTGCCTGGATTGAACCTGAACCTTCTCCAAACCACTTAACTATTTCTTTGGAGCTCTAAAGGTAGATTATGGTAATAATTATATTTTCTTTTAAAAAATACTAAAAAAACACTTTATACTTTGTACTTTGCTTTGCCACACCAAGCAGTACTCAGAGCTTACTCCTTGCTCTGTGCTCAGGGATCACTCCTGGTGGTGCTCAGGGGACCATACATGGTACCAGAGATCAAACCTAGGTCAGCTGGGTGCAAGACGATTCCTACCCACTGGACTACCTCTCTGGTCATAAATTTTTCACTTCTTACCATGTCAGTTACATCTAAACATAACTATTAAAAAAGAGAACACCAGTTATCTATTCAACTTTGAGCAAGTCAGTTTATAATTGGTTCCATGATGGTTGTTAGCTGACTACATCTATAATGTAGTCAATGCAACAACAAAAAAAAAAGTTTTACAAAATTTTTAAATCAAATGCCCCTTTGGCAGGGGTTGGGGAGAAGGGTTGGTAGAGTTAATGTGTCCTTTAAAAATAGAACACTTTTAGCACTGGAGAGATAGGAACAGAAATTAAGGTACTTGCCTTGCATATGGTCAAACCCAGGCCACTTCCCAGCACTGCCAGGGAATTTTTATGACTATATGATCCACCGACCACCACCAGGAGTGATCCCTGAGCACAAATTTTCTCACAGATTCTCACCCTCCACACACCCCCAAAAGAGAGCACTTTTAGACTGAAGATGCTCAATATCACTGAAGTAGGAACTGCAACTTAGAAATCACCTAATACGAGCATTCTGTAAGGTGCTTGCCTGGCACCACGTGTGGTCCCCTGCACACCTCCAGAAGCCATCCCTTAGCAGAGCCAGGAGTAATACCTGAACACAATTGTGTATGACCCCCAAACCCAAATAAATAAAGACTTCAGAGAAAGCTTCCTGAGGTCAGGCAGCAATTCCTCTCTAGACACTGATGTGCCAACTCCTTGACCGTGGACTTCCATGGCTCCCCAACTCTCAGAAATAAATTTCAGTTGTTTATTTAAAAAAAAAAAAAGAAATCACCTAATACCTGTTACAAGAGTTTATAAAGACAAGAGATAGGCTGGTATGCTACTCAGTAATAGAACACTTATCTTGCATGTGTGAGGCTTTAGTTTGATCTCCAACAGCACAAAATAAATTTACCTGTCATTAGAATATTTTCTTTAAAAAGTAAAAAATATTTACATACTATTGACATTAAAATATTTACATATGCATTTAGTTAGTATATAGGGAGACAGCTCAATGGGCTGGACAGCATGCTTTGCATGAGGGAGCCCCAGGTTCAAATCCCTGGCACCATATGTTCTCCCAAGCACTGTTAATTGCAGCCAAAACTAGGGGGAAAAAAAATAAGTGTTAGTGAGGATAAGGAGAAAAGGGAATCCTCTGTTGGTGGAAGTGTATACTGATGCATCTTCTATGGAGAACAGTAGAGAAGAGGTGCTTAAAAAAAAATTAAAGTGTTGTAGGATTCAATAATTCTACTTTGGGGTCTTTAAAGGAAACAAAAACACAAACTCAAAAAGATACCTGCACCTTCATTTTCATTACAACATAATACATAATAGGCAAGACATGGAAGCCACCAATGTATCCACTCATGAATTAAAAAATGTTGTATATATTTAATAAATATTTCCAACAATAAAAAGAAGGAAATTTTGTCATTTGAAAGTGCATGGATGGACCTTGAGAGCATTCTATTAAGCAAAGTAAATCAAAGAACTTCAGAATACTATATTCTTACTATATAATTTTGTACGTGGAATCTTAAAAAATATATATAGGATAGACAACAAACTGATTGCTCCCAGATATGGTAGTGGAAGCTGGTAAAATGGATAGAATAAAAAAAAATTCTAATTACAAGTCCTGAAGATGTAATACAACATAATGACAATATTTTATACCATATTATTTATGTGAAAATTAATTAGAGAGTAATACATAAATTTCACTGCTCAGGGATCACTCCTGGTGGGGTCAGAGGACCATCCAGGTGTCAAGGACTGGCTGGCTATGTACATGCTAGGCTTTACCTCCTGTCCTATCTCTCCACTATTGGTGTACTAATGGATGTTGACTGTGATCATTTCATAATATATACAAATGTTAGTTATGTCATGTACCTGAAATTAATATGTACATGCCAGTTACAAGTCAAATAAAAATTAGAATGTTTTGAATAGCTGACCATCAGAGTGCTCCAAACATGCTAATTAAGCACTGTAGCACTGTCCTCCTGTTGTTCATAGATTTGCTCAAGCACCAGTAACATCTCACAACAAATTGTGAGACTTGTTGTTACTGTGTTTGGCATATCGAGGAGCTTGCCAGGCTTTGCCCTGCAGACGAGATACTCTCGGTAGCTTGCTGGGCTCTCCGAGAGGGGCGAAAGATGGAATTCAGGTCGGCCAAGTTGGCCGCATGCAAGGCAAACGCCCTATCGCTATGCTATCGCTCCAGCCCTAAGTAAGGGAACATTAAAAATCAAGAGCCTAGGGAAACAGAGTAAAACAACCATCAAACTCTCCCAAAAGTTCTCAGTTGTGGGACATGCACATGAGGGTCATTTGCCTTGCATGTGGCCACCCGAGTTTAATCCCTGGTACCACACATGGTCCCTGAGTCCCGCCAGGAGTGACTCCTGAGCTCCAGAGCCAGGAGTAAGCCCTGAGCACTACTAGATAGCACTACCCCAAAACCCAAAACCAACAAACAACCCCGCCCCCGGCAAAAACAAAGGAGCCAGAGATAATAAGTGAGTAGGGCACTTTCCTTGCATGCTGCTGACCCAGGCACCCCATTTGATACCCTGGGCCCACCAGGAATGATCACTGAGCACAGAGCCAGAAGTAAATACTTTACACTGCTGGGTGTGGTCAAAAAAAAGAGTTCTCAGTTGTAATTTTTCTCATAAGACAAACACTACTTTAGAATTACATAGGAGTTGATAATTTGACATTTCCTTATGCTTTTTTTGCTTATATCTTTTATAAATACTTTCATAAAAATCTTGAAAACTTGTAGTCTTTGGGAAAACTGTAACTTCCTGAAACTGACAGCAATGAAGAAGGTTAAAAAACTTTATTCATCACACAATGAGATTTTTTCATAGCCAAATAATATTCATCAATAAATACCTTTACAAAAGAATCATTATATTCTCAACTTTACCTGCTGTAACATTACTTACAGATCTAGGCTGACCTGAGAATCTCCGGTTATAATCATTAATATCTTGATGCAGTGGCAAAACATCCTGAGACTGGTCATTTTCACCAAATATTGGTAGTAGTAAAGTTACCTGTTAGAGAAAACAAAAAAATGCCTTTGTGCTGCCATTAGTTTATTTTGTTATTCAATAGGATGACAGAAGGCAGAGTTTACATTTTATTTCTTTATTAAAGCAACAAAAGGTGGGAAAAGAATAAAAAATAATAATTTTTAAATAAACATTTTTTACTTCATAATAAAACCCAATAAAAATGCAATTTGAAATTCCTTTAAAAAACAGACACCTTACCCCAACACTAGTTCTAATATTTTCTAGTTCACATCAGTGATAAATTTCTTTGTTCTCTGTCCAGGCTAACAAATATTTGAAAATACAAAAGTCATGAAAATATCTGGAAGCCAAGTGTATAAAAATGTAAACCTGTATTTTGAAAGAGATATAACTTTTGTATTAACATCATGATTCCTAGGCTAAAGAGACAGTACCATAGTTAAAATGCCCGCCTTGCACACAGCCCTCTCCAGTTTGATCCTTGGCAGCTATTCCCAAGTATAGCCCTCCCACCAAATGAAGTTTTTAAAAATCATGATTACTTATCCTTACTGGCATTTAAAATGTCGATGAATGTTGCCTGTCATAACAAAAAGATTACTGCGGGGACATGTTCTCAAGCATCAATTTCTATTAATAATCAAAATGGGTAATTTTGGGAGGTAGGGCTAAGGGGAGTAAATCTAAGACTGCATATATGTGATATATGTGAGGTATGCTCTCTCACATCACTACATCCTTGGCTTTTAAAAAGGTAATTTTTTTTAAATTTTATTGAATCACTGTGAGATAGTTACAAGCTTTCATGTTTGGGTTATAGTCACACAATGACCAAACACCCATCCCTCCACCAGTGCACGTTCCCCACCACCAATATCCCCCGTATACTCCCCTTTTCCACTCTCCCCCTGCCTCCATGGCAGACAATATTCCCCATAATCTCTCTTTACTTTTGGGCATTATGGTTTGCAATAGAGACACTGAAAGGTTATCATGTTTGGTCCTTAGAAAGGTAATTCTTAATACTGTTACACACTATGATGTTCACTGTTAATGTCCAGGACCACATTAGGATAATGTAAAAATACAGTACCTTGAAAAAGAAGTAAATCTAAAAATACAGCAACTTTTATAGAAAATGGCCACTGATAACTCTTCAGTAAGGGAAGCAGAGAAGGAAAAGTAACTGATTTAGGCTGAAATCATCTAGCTCAGAGATTCCCAAACCTATTTGGCCTGCTGCCCCCTTGGGGGGAGAGAGGGGGAGCACTCACTGGCCCCCTGAGAAATTTACCTTAAGTAAACAGAAAAACGCCCCCCATTATTGCTGACACCCTGGATTGTTCCCATGTCCCTCTCCCACAACAGCCATGTGATTAAAAAATCAAATGTGAAAGAAAAAGAATTGGGGAACATAGGAAACAGGAAGGAAACAAGATCTGAAGTTCCCTCAATACCAAAATAGAAGGCAGTGACAGAGGAAAAGGGGAAGTTGGAGAAAAAGATTGAGGGGTACACAAAAGTGTACGTGTGTGTATATATAATATGTACATGTACATACCTAACAGTATATATTATTTTATTATATAAAGTCTAAAAACTGGACTAAATGAAACTTGGAGGTGTCTACTAAGTTAATAAAATGGGGGACCACACTACCCACTATACTCTTCAGCTCCAAGATCTGGTTTTTGAATTGCTGCCTTTTGGGGCTAAAAGAGCTCAACAGGCTGGCATCCATGTTTTGCCTGGAGGAACTCTGTATTCAACCCCTGGTACCTCATGATCACTCTGGCATGACTGAGAATGACCCCTGAGCACTGAGCAGGGTGTGGCCTAAAAACAAAAACAGCTGCCTCTTATAGTCAGTGATGACATCACTTTGCATATGTGCATGCATTTATTTTAGGAAAAAAGATAAATATGAAGAAAATAATGAAAACCTAGATGACAGACAAATGTCCTATTTTACTATGTTTACTAATTTAAAAAACTAAAAGTAAGGAAGAACTCACGTTTGTTATATTGTTCAGCCTTAGTTTTACCAATTTTTTAAAGAAATTGAAAAAAATTGCACATCTCATTTGTGCTCATATTTAAATTAACAACATTGAAAAATATATCTTTGTAAAAATTAAAAATTTACTATGTCCTTCCAGAGACAGATACTCTTTAATAACTGATTTCATTCTGGATATGTATTTATGTCTCAAAAAGGAAACATTTAGAAAAATTTGTTGTCTTGAACTTCACTGGAAAGACAGATTAAAAAGAAATTTTTTGCTGTTTTTTGTTTTAGGGCCATAGTCAGCAGCACTCAAGGTTTACTGCCGGAAGGCTCAGGGGACCTTATTGGGTGCGAGGGGTTCAACTCAGGTCTCTGCATACAAGGCAAGTGCCTTGCTCACTGCACTATCCAGCTCCTAAAAATAAATTTTAAATGAAAAACAGGCTAGGAAGATAGTTTAAACAGTATCACATATTCTGGGTGTGGCCCCTATTAAACAGCTATATGTGGATCCTGGAGGTCAAAAACAAAACAAAACAACTTTTAATAGTATTTGTATAAAATGAGGGCTTGATTGGCAAGTTCAGCTATCACTTTAGGGAAATTTTCTTTTCCAGTTGTATTTTCACTATAAATGATTTCAAACATAAGGCCCCCTTCTGAGGTGTCTTAAAGGCATTTTTTAAAAATGGGATATCATAAAAAAACCTTGAATAAATGAGGTTCTGCTAAAAAATTAAAATAATTCAAGTTAAAATCACTATAACATTTTATAAAATGAACTGTAACAAATATTTTCTGGATATAAATATTACCGTTTGTCTACAGATTGGGCAACTGATTGCCCCAAGCCATGAACCGTATCGCCAGTATGCAATAATGCAAGTACCTAGTGGGAGAAAAAAACAAAACATTAATACCGATGCCTTAAAAAACAATATATCCTGAGAAACTTTCAATATTAAACTGTTTTTACTTCAATCAATTCTTTAGGCACATTCAAACTTACTAACAGTTCCCAGCCACTGAAGGATATATATATATATATATATATATATATATATATATATTTTTTTTTTTTTTTTTTGCTTTTTGGGTCACACCCAGCGATGCTCAGGAGTTATTCCTGGCTCTGCACTCAGGAATTACTCCTGGCGGTGCTTGGGGGACCATATGGGATGCTGGGAATCGAACCCAGGTCAGCTGCATGCAAGGCAAACGCCCTACCGCTGTGCTATCGCTCCGGCCCCTGAAGAATATTTTTTAAACAATTAACATACGTTTTTTATACAATGAAAAGCAAGCATGAACTGTATTGGTACTGAATATTGAGTTCAATATTGATATTTTAATAGGACACATTAAATTTCCTATATGTTACACATTTAATAATCATTACTAAATATGTAAATATAGCAATCAACACATCACAGCACATATTGTTTCAGATTATGTATGTTACAAAAACATCTATTCTTTTGAGCTTAAAAAGCCAGACTATTATATTATCATTCAACAGTAAGTATGAGCAAACAGCCAAAGGATATAAAGAAAACATGCTATCTGCTCTAATTAAGCTTATAATCCAGTTCAACAACTGATTCAACTTCTGCCTGGATAGATTTTATTTTTCCATTTGGATATTTGAAGATATGAGTAACAAACCTATGAAAGGTGGGCAAAAGAGCCAACAAGTCTGTAGACTTAAAATAATAATAGATGAACTTTGTATAAGCACTGAAGTACACTGTTGTTTGTATAATAAATGAAGGAACCAAACCAGCAATAAAGAAGCACTTTTTAAATACTGTGTGATATTTAATGGAAAATTGCTTTTCTTCTCTATAGATACCTGTTCTCAGATCATGAACCTGGCCTGTCTCTTTTGAACGTTAAGGATCTCTGCACACTTCCTCTTCGCCTAGTTTAGCCTTTCGTGTTCCTTATTCTGATTCTTCCATATTGAATAAGTATCCAAAATTCAGAGCAAGAAACTGACAAGTTGTGGAGACCAAGGAACATACTTGAATCAACCAAAAAGTAGTTAGTTAAACCTTAAACTGTTCATATTTTAGTACAGAAACAGTGCAGAATGGAAGAAGTCTATGGGATGTACTACTGATTAACTTGTAGAAAAGAAAAAAAATGAACTAAAGTTTGTAGCACTGTAGCACTGTCCTCCCGTTTGTTTGATTTGCTCAAATGGGCACCAGTAAAGTCTCCATTGTGAGACTTGTTGTTACTGTTTTTGGCATATCAAATTAATACACCAAGGGGAGCTTGCCAGGCTTTGCTGTGTGGGTGGGATACTCTCGGTAGCTTGCCAGGCTCTCCGAGAGGGACAAAGGAATTGAACCCAGGTCAGCTGCATGCAAGGCAAACTCCCTACCCACTGTGCTATCACTCCAGCCGGAGTTTGTAGGACAGGTAAAATTTAGATAGGTAGGAAAGGGAGGGAGAATGCAGAGCATATGCCAAAGGCAGAAATACATGAGAAGATCTGAACAAACCAATGGGTCAAAAAACAAAGACAGTCAAACTGTATATTAATTACAGTAACTCAGAAAAAAATGCTCAACTTAAAGGTGAATTTAAAAGTTAAACAATGTTTATCTTTATTTTCCTCCTTTCAGAATACTGTATTAGATAACATTTATTCTGAGCACTCTAGTACAGGTTGGGGAATATGGGTCTGTGTTTTGCAAATTATGCAATGGTCTTTTGCCTACACTGAAAAACTATAATCCAACAAATCAAACACTTATTTTATACACACCTATGATATACTTAATATTTTCTCTTTTCCTCAACCTTCCCCTTTTGTAAAAAAAAGAGTTTAGGGGGTCAGAGAGAGTACAGCAGGTAAGGTGCTGAGTACCTAAAGGATGTGGCCCAGAAACAAAACAGAAAGGTTTACCTAACTAAACAAGATCATGATAGAGACAGTGACTCATTTGTATGAGACATGATATTGCTAATTCTGCTTATTTGTAAGATGGAGTAAGACCTCATAAAACTGCTGGAGAATTAAATAAAATAATGTGGGTTACAAGTGCAAGTAAGGTGAAATCTACTTAACTCATTTAAAGGAACTGTACAAGGTACAATATATAAGAACGAAGACAAAGTGCTCTTGAAATACATGGTATCAATGTTCTTGGACATACTGTTCTTCAACATACTACTCAAAGAACACATTTCTGTTTATTGAGAAGTTGAAAGACTAGGTTTTATTATTATTTTTGTTTTTGTTAAGTCTGTTCTTGAAACAGTTCTCTAGTGACTGTTAAATGCTGGACATTGTTCCACACATTGAATATAACAGTGAGCTCAAGAAACTTGTGAAGTTATTTGCTCCTGAGGTTTATAAATGTATATAGTGTATTAGGACTGGAGAGGCTAGTACAGAAGTGTGGACTACTTGTCTTGCCTGTAGCTGCTGTGATCTCAACCCTGCTTTAGATTCCTGGCACTAGCACAGTGCCAGGAACAGCCCCTAAGCATGGCCAGGTATGACCCAGCCCTTTCACAAACCCACTCCCCCATCCCCTGTACCTCCCTGCCAAAATATAAATGAAATTTCCCATCAATCCTCCCAAACTGTCCCCAATATAATAATCGAAAAGCATGGGTGGCTGCATAATTTAGATGGAGTGCTATCCAGTGAGAAGGGAAGAGAGGAAAATAAGAAAAAGAATGAGATGTTAGAACTGTAATTTGAAGATGATACATAGAAAGTTGATTATTTAGATAATTGTGGAGTAAGCTCATTCCAGCAGGAGGAGCCATGAGCTTGCAAGACCATCCTTTGATACTAGTGTATCTGATTGGTGTTCAGTGGGTATGAGGCTGTTTAAGAGTGAATGAAGATCACAAATAGGAGATGTCTGGGGTTGGAGCAATAGCACAGTGGGTAGGGTGTTTACCTTGCATGGGGATGCCCCAGGTTCGATTCCCAGCATCCCATATGGTCCCCCAAGCACTGCCAGGAGTAATTCCTGAGTACAGAACCAGGAGTAACCCCTGTGTACCGCCGGGTGTGACCCGAAAAGAAAACAAACAAACAAACAACACAAATAGGAGATGTCAGAGGTAAGATGCCTTTTGTAAGGTACTTGTTTTTCATCTATAACCACATTCATTTGAAGACACTGGCCCACATTAAAATTAAGTATTGAAAGTTATCTTTGAAGATTTTGAGTATAAAGGAGATAAATGCATTTGTATTTTAGAAGAATCACTGAATGCTGAGAACTCTGGGGGGAGATGGAGCGCATGAAAGGAGTTTGGAGATGTGGTAATAATTCAGACAGTGAGAGAGTCTTTCCAGATTCTAAAACCCAGGTTATTATCTTTAAAATTCTGGAGTCCTCGTGGTAGTGTCTATAAGGGGTGTGTGTGTGTATATATATATATATGGACTCTGCGCCAGGCTGTGGGGTGGGTGAGAGTCCTCCCCACCCCAAGGAACCCAGCCCTGGCAGCCGACCTCCACTGCCCAACCAACGCCACACTTCAGGCCACTTTCCAGATACATTATAAGATACTTCCTACCCATTTATGCCTCTCAGAGGGCCCAGAAAACTACCAAGAATATCCTGCCCTCACAGGCATAGCCTGGCAAGCTCCCCGTGGCATATTCAATATGCCAGATACAGTAATGACAATAGATCTCATTCCCCTGACCCTGAAAGAGCCTCCAATCTTTGGGAAAAGAAAAGAAAGAAGAGGCTGCTAAAAATTTCAGGACTAGGAGGAATAGAGACGTTACTGGCGCCCGCTCGAGTAATTCGATGATCAATGGGATGACAGTGATACAGTGAGATACAGTATATAGTGTATACATATATCTATATATAGATCTAGATAGATATCTATATATAAATATATGTAAGGTAGCTTCAGTATTTGGGAATTTTTTTTTACTCCTCTTAAGATCATTGTTTTTGGTGTCTAGGGAGCAACTGGACTGCTTAGGAGTTCCATTCAGAGTGATGCTTTGGCTCTAGCCTTTACACTATCTTCCCAGCCTAAGATAATAATTTTAATAGCATATGTATAATAATTTTTAATAGCATATGTATTTCGGGCTGGAGCAATAGCACAGCGGTAGGGCATTTGCCTTGCACGCAGCCAACATGGCCGACCCGAGTTCGATTCCTCCGCCCCTCTCGGAGAGCCCGGCAAGCTACCGAGAGTATCTCGCCCACGCGGCAGAGCCTGGCAAGCTCCCCGTGACGTATTCGATATGCCAAACACAGTAACAACAAAGTCTCCAATGGAGACGTTACTGGGCCCGCTCGAGCAAATTGATGATCAACGGGAAGGCCTTTACTTTACTTTACTTAGCATATGTAAAATTGGACTGGAGCGATAGCACATCTGGTAGGACATTTGCCTTGCACACGGCCGACCTGGGTTCGATTCCTCCGCCCCTCTCAGAGAGTCCGGCACACTACCGAGAGTATCTCGCCCATATGGCAAAGCCTGGCAAGCTACCCGTGACGTATTCGATATGCCAAAAACAGTAACAACAAGTCTCACAATTTGTTGTGAGACGTTACTGGTGCCCACTCAAACAAATCGATGAACAACGGGAGGACAGTGCTACAGTGCTACAGTGCCACACCTGGCAGTGCTCAGGACTTACTCCTAGATCTGCACTCAGGGATCACTCCTGGCAGTGCACCAAGACCATATAATGGTGCAGGAAAAAAAATCTCTGGAAGATCAGGAAAAATGTCCAAGGGTAGATTGAATCTGGGTTGACTAAGTGCAAGGTAAGTGCCCTATCTGATGTACTGTCTCTCCAGCTGAAGGTTTTTTTTTTAAAAAAAACTTTGAACCTAAAGACATTGTAGTGTAGCTAAAGAAATTGTCTAACAAGTAGAATATGATGTAATCTACCCTACTACCTCAGACCCAGTGGTAAAAACCAAGAACACAATACCTTTTGATTGAATGGGTCCCCTCAAAGAATTTCCTAAGCTGGGATTGACAAATAGAGTTCATCCTGCCTGCCAATTCTTACTAATTTCTAATTCTTATCCGGTGTACTGTGTTATAGAACAAAATATTGCTATAACCAGACTCAGAATAAGAGTGCCCAGTCAATTAGGAGTTTCAAAGACTTGAAAAGAAAAAAGTATTTTCTCTTGACTATTTAATTCTACCAATCTATTCTCAGAATATCTTGCTGTTCATTTGTATTTTTAACAGAATAAAGACAGATAATCAAACAAGTGTTCTATAATTTCTTAGCTACTAAGGCAAAACTTTCAGGGAAGCAGTACAGTGAGTTGAGCACAGAGTTTGAAATCAGCCCCAGTTTTATGGTTCTATCCCTTAGCTGCTGATCAGCCTTTGCGAAAATTCTTAGTATCTCTGAGCCTATTTCCTTATCTGTGGAATTAGATAAAATGTATGCCAAGAGTCCAACACACAGAAGCATGTGATCACCGACCCTCCTCAATCTTATTTCATTATTCCCTATGAAATCTCTGGAAGGAAAAAAAAAATCTGGAAGATCAAGAAAAATGCCCCAGGGTAGAAAGCACTACTTACTAAATTATGAAATCAGTATGCTCTTCTTTAGCTACACTACAAAGTCTAGATTTTCTCATTCTCCCTTGATGGATTATAGTTTTAATAAGCATTTTAAGAAGTAACACTGGTTGTTCTTCCTCCCTCCCCCCCAGGGAGCTTAGGTTTACTGAGTTATGCCCACCACAGTGCTCCTGAAGTGCGCCCAATTCCATCAGGGCATTCCCAATCCTCTGTTTCTCTTTAACCTCTCATTTGTGCTCTTCTTCCCCTACTAATCACATATATCCCAAATCAGACCCTGTAACCTGTAAGTCAAATTCTTCTGAGGGCTCTGGATTGCTTTTCTCTTTCCTTTATGTCCTTTGCATAGTTTGCTTTAGAGCAATGTTCTTTTTTGTATAGATACAGGAAAGTGGTTAATGCTATGCTTTTGTAACTTAGGAGTTAACTGATTGTGAATAATATTTACTCTTGGGCATCTGTCATATTTAGTTGACTTGAGCCTCAATTGCCCTTAGTTCCTAATACCCTAAAAGGCGGGGAGGGGGACCCAGCAAGGGACAAGGATGGACCCAGGGCAAGCCATAAGCTAGCTACCCTGCATCAAGAAGGAACAGGCTGAGTGCCATAAAATGTATAATAAAAGGATGGTCATGGAACAAACTCTGTCATGACCCAGAAGAAGTACCTGAATAAGGACTCTGTGGGGTTAGGAAAAACTAACCTGGCATGAGGACTGTAGTTTGGGATATAGAGTGGAACGTCCCCAGGAAGAGCCACCCTTTAAGCTTAATATATCTTTTACTGTATGCATACAAAATGATGAGAAATATTATTAAGAAGTAATTTAATGATTGTTTAAATGGATTACTAGCAAAGGAAAGGAGAAAACAATAAGCCCTTAAATGGAATTCTGCTCTTGGGGAAGAAATTCTAGAGGGGATCTAGAGTTCTGGAGCCCTTGGTGAGATTCTGTCCTTGGGTGGATCGCCTAGAACTGACCCTGAAGGAAGGGCTTTACATCTGTTCACTGTCTATGATAGTGTTCAACCACACCTATATGTAATTGCTACCCCCCAACCCTTCATGATTTCTCTATAATTAATGCTGTGAGATTTGAACAGAGGGCCACTGATTATCAACCAGCCTGTGGCCCCATTCCTTCGTCCATCGTCGGCCGGCCAGGGGGACTATGACTGGCCTGAATGTACCAAGGGGACCCCCGGGTCACCATGGGACAGTGAGCTCCCGAACAAGGACACTCCCTCGCCAACACTTTGTGTTCACTAACAGAGGCTAAGAATGTTTATGCTATCTCAGAGGGAAAAAAGATCACAAGCTAAGGGAAGGTCTTAGGTCTTCTTCTCTGAAAGAAGATTTTAGGAAGGATGAACAGTAAATGAAACTAACAAAATATACTGAGCAATGAGGGGGTCTGAATTATTTCTTAAAAATCTGTTTAATGACAAGTTGAATAACTAGCTTTTAAACTCTCTAAATCTGCTGACACAAAATAAAAATGACTGAAAAGTAAATCAGAATATTAGAAGCAATATACCCTACTCATAAAACACAAAATTGAAAAAAGGAAAATTAGGACTCCCTCTTATATACATAATGTGGGTCCTGCTCTAAATAGTCAATGTTACCAAGTATAACATTATTTGCTTACCACAAAAAAGATGTCCACAGTTTGTCTCAACAGGGAAGGAGGCTTGATGTAAACAGATTGGACAGTACATGTCAGTGTAGAACTGCTGCCGGGCAGCAGCGGGTGCATCCTGATGAGAAAACATCCAGATACATGGCACACTTGGGGTTGAAATGACTCTTATGTTCAGTTATGCTTAATGGAATAGTCAATGGAGTAGAATCATCAGATTTTACATCTGCAATAGTTTTAGTTCTTATAAGTTCGACAAAGTTATGAGGCTGTTGTTCCAGTTAAGCTTCGTGGTATCTCTCCAGTTTCCTGAGTCCACTTGAAGGATTAGCCCTACGATTTACTCAGGAGTTTCTCTTGTGTACTGAGAAACTCAAGAAGTACATATGCTGGATAATAAGAAATATCACATTATTTCCCAAGTATTAGCTTTTTTCCACTTTTAGTATCTTTTCATCCATACATTCCTGACACCTGTATGCAGATAAGATGTATGCCAGGAACAGAATTAAGCTGTCAGTGACTTAGTCATTTTGGAAGTAGAAAAATTTAAGACCCTAGAAGTTGAACTTAATCCTTCACATAGTTTAGTAAACGGTGATGTTTTTCAGTTACATCACTGTTGTGATTCTAATAGTAATGTTGAATAGATTCACAAGTACAAAAACCATCCAGAAATCAAGGGCCTAGTAGAACTGTAAATGCAAATTACAAAGGATTACAAATTATAAAGGATTAAGACTTTATTTGTAGCATTCTTTGCAATATACTATGAACTGAAAAAAAGTGCATGTTTATCTTTTAAATACTATCAAACCCTATTTTTATAGCAGTGTCTATCTTATAAACAAAAGTAGCTGGCATTAAAAAATTAAAATTACCAAAATTATTAAATATAAACTATCAACAAGGAACATATCAAAGATTTTTGTGACCCACTATCAATAAATAACAATGAAAATCTATTTCCTGAAACAACTACAGTATTCTCTATGGCAAGGTGATCCACTGCTGTTATACCTTAGCACGTGTTTTCCCAGGCTGGGGGAGGGTGCCAGGGACTGCACCTAGGGCCTCAATCCCTTGAACTGTATATTTATCACTGGGCTATATCCCTGTTGTTTTTAATGGTACAATAGACAAAAACATATAGAACTTAAGTCCCTTTATTTTTTCCTTCATTGTTCTTTGGAAATTAACTGACAAAAAATTATCAGTGCTTCAAGATAATAGATATACTGGTTCTTAAAGAGTCTACCTGGATAAAAGAAAATAAGAGATAGAGGAGGAAAGTTTTTATTTTGGGCCTTGAAGGAAAAAAAGGAAAAAAGTCCAACCCTCAGTATAATTTCTTTGTAGTAGATCTCAGGGAAATGTATGCTTTTTACTACATCTCATTAAAGTAAATGGGAGAGTGGTCAATTTCCTCACAAGTAGGAAACAGGAAAACTGCCTTTTAAACAAGTTAAATAAAAATGATACTCATGAAAATATTTGAATGACTAGTGATTTGCCTAATATGAAAATATATAATCTACAGAGTAATTTAAGGTAACAAAAGAAAGAAATCCATGTTTCCAAAACTTAATCTGTGTTTTATCACAATTTCATATGTAAAGGAACAATAACCTGTACTCATTACATAAATGCACATATTTCTAAAACAAATATAAATACCTGTTCTGTTTGAAGTTGCTCCCGAAGCACCCTTACTAGCTCTTGGTTTTCTGGATGAATGTTTTGATGTGCATTTCTGATGAATAAAAAATAATGGTAAATGAACCAGTTTTCTTTCTCGACTAATTTTTAACCTAATTGTAACTTAAGTGTAACTATAACATATAACTGTACTCCATATTCCAGAACTACATATTCCAGGGTATTTTGTGGTTAGTTCTTCTGAAATTACTGATTATCAGCTAATTTCAGGTTATACTGGCAAATGATGAAATCCAGAGTCTTAGTAATTTAGGGATTTAATATAATTACAAGCATACAAATAATAGATTTAGTTCAAAAATTCCTTCAAAATAAGTAGTATGATTTTATATAGTATACAGGAAGTGTTCAATTGAACACTTTCCTATGGTATTCCTCACAATTTTTTTTTTTTCACCTATACAGGTCCTGGAACAGGGCCAGAGAGATTTGCTTTGCATTTGGCTGAATCTGGCCCTATCCCTGGCACTGCATTATAGTACCCTGAGCACCAAGCAGCGTCACTTCTTTTAAGCACAGAGCCAAGAATAGCTCCTGGGTACTGCTAAGTCTGGCCCATTATCCCTGCACCCTTATTCCCAAAAAACCATAAAAGGGGACAGAGAAAACCATAAATTACAAGTCTATAATACAGGAGCCAAGACCTAACACTACTAATCCTAACATTAATAACTAAAGCGGAGATTAAAAGGAATGAAATTAGCAGTCAATATAAAAGGACGGAATAAGATGAAGACAGAAAGGAGGAATAGTTGTCAAGTTAGTTGGGTGGAGGGAAAGATGTCTGAATCGCAGGTTAATTTTATTTGGCTACAGAATTTCTAAACTTAAAAATTATCTGTGTGTATTAAACGTGTTTTTCATTTAAGGCTTAATTTTTTAGTAGTTTGATTTCACAACTAAAAGAAACATATGGAGAATGATCCTAAATACCATCTCATTATCAACACCCCTGACCCGTCCTATGTCTGGCTTCTTTGGCTGAATATTTTGACATAGGTTTATTCATTCTGTTACTCAGAGAAATACTTTCTTGTTGTTGTTGTTGTTGTTGTTGTTGTTAAACTGCTGTGTGGTTTCCTTTTATAAATGCTCCATAATTCACCCATGATGGTTTGAGGCTCCTTACCTGCAATGGACAGTTTTGTGAGATATGTTACTGCTACTGTGAAGTAGCATGCATGCTCAATGAAACAGATAATGAATCAGCTGAGGATGTAAGGGAGGAAGAGACCAACAGAATGGGTACTCCTAGAGCCATTAAACCAACCACATCTGCTTCTCTCTGAACTTTGCTAAGCCAATAGAAATATCCTCATAATGTAAGTCACCTCTACTTAGGTTTTCTATTGTTTGCAAACCAAACGTCCTAACTGGCACATAATAAAAAATATAGTTTCAGATCCAGGCCACATGATACATTCCCCATGTAGACTTAACATTCCAGCCCACATGGGCCTCTCATGTTAGCCTCCTTTGTATCCACTCATTAACTGCATGTTCCTATAAACTACTCATTGTCTCATTTTTCTGTCTCTTTATCTGTAAACAAATAATATTTATCTTAAAAGAACCAAAGATAGGATCAAGACTTTGGATTAGTGTTAGAGCACATGCCGTGCATGTGCGAAGGCGACTTTGATCCCCAGCACTACAAAAAATAGAATATAATATACAATATATGTGTTAGAACTAAAAAATAAAATACTTATTTACATTCTTTAAACTTAACAGAATGAAGGTAAGAGTACAATCAATAAACCTGAAATGAGTCCCCATTATTACTCTCTCATATCAGTAGTAACTTAGTAGAGAGGGAGTTATTTGCCTTTTATAGAAACTCATGTAGAGCCAGTTTAATGGTAATATTTCTTTACCTGTGTGTCTGAAAAGCTACTTAATTCCTCCTTCAAATCTGAGAGATAACCCAGCTGGGTAGAGTTCTCTTGGTTAGAGGTCTTTTCCATCCAGCACTTTGTGTACAATTATGCCACATCCTTAGAGTTTCTAAAATATGCTGATAGTCTTGGGATTTCCCTCATATGTGAATATTTTTCTTTTGCTAATTTTAGGATTGTCTTTTTTTGTTGCCATTGTAGTTATAATACCTGATATACTTCTGTTTGAGTTAATTTTGTTTAGGACTCTGAGTTTAGTCATTTCGTCTGTCCTAATTTCTTTCTCAGCTTAGGGAAGTTTTCAGCTATTTCTTCAAATTAGACTTTTGCTGTTTTCCTTCTCTTCTCCTCCAACTCTTATAATACAAATTTGGTTCCCCTTGCTGCTGTCAATAGTTCTATTCTCATTCTCTCTCTCTCTCTCTCTCTCTCTCTCTCTCTCTCTCTCTCTCTCTCTCTCTCTCTCTCTCTCTCTCTCTCTCTCAGGTGTGGCCGGGAACACCCAGTTGTGCTCAGGGGAAATCCCTGGTTCTGTGCTCAGGAGTGACCTCTAGCATTCCTTGGGGAACTAAATATAGTGCTGGGGATTGAACAAGGATAGTGGAATACAAGGCAAGTGCCCTAACATCTGTTCTCTTCCACTCCCATGTAGCTCTTATGCTACCTTCATTGTTTCCACTTCTATCTTCCTTTTCTCTTAGTCTTTATGGAAGTTTTCTAGCACTTTAGCATTTTGCTCACTAATTTAGTTTATGGCTTTTTCTATTATGCTTTTTAGTCTCTTCTGAGTGGTTTGTTTGAACTTTTCTCAGACTTTCTGTTAAAGTTCATGGCCACTGATCTCATTTCAGCAATCATCTTTAGCAACTGTTGCTTTGGATTACTCTCAGAGAGGTTACAAGTCTATTGTTTTAGCAGTTCTTTCTTTCCAGTATGTTCTGACTCCTTATGCCTGGTGTTATAGGGGGCACCTGTGTACCGAGTTTGGGAAGGCCTGGCACTGACCAGGAATTCAAGATCACCTGCTTCCTAGCAGCCACTAGGCCCGGGTGGTTGAACAGGAGGCTGGAGCCTCACTACCACCTGGTACAGAGGAGATACACACTCCTGGCATGGAGTATGTCTTGCTAGGGATGGGTGGAACCCTCTGCAAGAATTTTCTCTCTTGGCTTCACCACTGTAAAGAGTGAGATTCAATTAAAATTAATTATCAAGATGGTTATCTACCAGTGATTCTGACTCCTTTTTATACATATCTGAATAGAACAAACACAGACTGAAAGTCAAGGTTGGAAGACAATCCTTTAAGGAAACAACTCCCTCAGAAAGGCCGGGGTGCCATACTCGTATCAGACAATATCAACTTCAGGCTCAAAAAGGTTGTAAGAGATAGTGACGGTGATTTCTTAATGATCAAGGGATCTGTACATTCGGAAAAAACTCTCTTTCCTAAACTGTCACTGTCACTGTCCTCCTGCTGTTCATCGATTTGCTTGAGCAGGCCCAGTAACGTCTCCATTTTTTGGGGACTTGTTGTTACTGTGTTTGGCATATTGAATATGTCATGGGTATTTGTCTACATTAAAAATAATAAAATTTGGGGCTGGAGCGAGAGCACAGCGGGTAGGGCGTTTGCCTTGCACGCAGCCAACATGGCCGACACAGGTTCGATTCCCAGCATCCCATATGGTCCTCCAAGCACTGCCAGGAGCAATTCCTGAGTGCATGAGCCAGGAGTAACCCCTGAGCATCGCCAGGTGTGACCCAGAAAGCAAAAAAATAAATAAAAATAAAATAAAATAAAATTTTTAAAAAACTGGAAAATAAACAAAAGGAGCCCAAACCAGGCAGGAGGAAGAAAATAAAACTTAGAGCAATAATTAAATGAACAACAGCAGTGAAGAGCCCTGGCAGGCACCACAATACTGAAGAATTCTCCAGGCCCCACACTGAGCTGGCATCACCAGGATGCCCCAGATGGAGCAGGTGCAGTTTCCCCGCCTACTCCAGATGTAATCCCGGTGACCATGAGCTTCTACAAGCATGGCTCTGGTATGTGGGTTTCAGGCTCAGTCTCCAAACCATGCTGGAATAGCTTCCTACAGAGATGTCTGTAGAACTGAACTATTTATAATTTAGAATCTCAGAAGCAAGCAGCCTCTTATTTAGGCCATGCAACTTTTCTTTATATGCAAAGTAAGCAAGGGAAAATAAATGATCTAGCATCTGCCCCTGGAGGGCAGGCTTGAATAGTGTTGGGAAAATCCAAGCAAAATATAATGCCCAAAAGTAGAGAGGGTGGGGCTGGAGCAATAGTACAGCAGGTGGGGCGTTTGCCTTGTATGTGGCCAACCTGGGTTCTATTCCCAGCATCCTATATGGTTCCCCGAGCACCACCAGGAGTGATTCCTGGGTGCATGAGCCAGGAGTGACTCCTGTGCATTGCCAGGTGTGACCCAAAATGCAAAAAAAAAAAAAAAAAAAAATCAGAGAGGGAGCATCTGGGCAATTTTCTTCCATAGAGGCAGGGTAAGGACTGAGATGGGGGGTGGTGGGGGAACAGGGGTTATTGGTGGTGGAAAATTTGCACTGTTGGAAGGACAGGTGATTGATCATTATATATATAACATTTTATATATATATATCTATCGATGTCATGAATATCAAACGCAAAAGTTTTGTAACTATATCTCATGGTGATTCAATAAAAAAAATTTTGAAAAATAGTAATAATAATTAAATGAACAATCCGAAATATTACTGAAACCAAGAACTGGTTCTTTGAAAAAATTAATAAGATAAGCCACTAGCAAGACTCACAAAGAGAGAAAGAATCCTAATTAACTGAATCAGAAGTGAAGGGGGAGCATCACAACGGATACCATAAAAATTCAACAGATCATCAGAGATTACTTTGAAAATCTTTATGCCATGAAACAAGAAAATATAGAAGAAATCGATAAATTTTTCGACTCCTATAAGCTCTCAAGGCTGAACAAAGAAGATATGGACAGACAAATTACTATTATGGAAATTGAAATGATAATCAAAAGTTTCGCTGATATCACCGGGAGGTCCCAGATGGGGTAGGTGCTGTCTCCCCACCTTCTCCAGATGGAATCCCGGCGACCATGAGCTTCTACAGCATGGCTCCATATGTGAGTACCAGGACTATTTTCCAAACCGTGTGGCTGCTTATGAGGTCACGCCACATTTCCTGATATGCAAAGTGATCAATGGAAAGTAAATGATCTAGCATTTGTTCTTGAAAGATAGGCTTGAATGTTGGTGGGGAAATCTGAGCAAAATATAATGCCCAATTGAAATGCATCTGGACTGTGCATTTAACTACGGTGCTATGCCGCTCTGGGAGAAGGGTGTCTGTCCCTCCGCTTGCCCCCTCCCACCCCTTCCGGTGGTGGCATGGTGGCCTGCATCTTTTAGAGCCTAAATGAACAGTCAATTATGAGACTGCATTGACGAGGCACGTGGGGCCACTTGGGATGGGGGGGGTGGAATCGGCCCTGCTCCCCACCATGACAATGCCCCAGGTTGCCACCCTCAAACACCTCCTCCAGCTTCTGAACGACCATGATCCCAGAAGCACACAAACCAATCTCAGAACCTATGGGCTTTTGGCAGTAATCCCTCTAGGCTTATTACTAAAATATCAGAAATCCAAATTTGCATGGCCGCTATTGCAGCCACATGACATCATATGCTCTTCATAATCAGCATTAGAAAACAAATTATCTAATGCTATCTTTTTTGGCAGGTCTGAATGTTGGGGTAAATTCCAAATAATATTGTTGGGTCTTCTGTCATTATATTGAATGTGATCAATGTAGAGAGAGAGAGAGAATAAAGTGGAAATCTGCCACACAGGCAGGGGGGGTGCGTGGGAGAGGGGGGTATACGGGGTTCTTGGTGGTGGAAAATGTGTACTGGTGAAGGAACGGGTGTTTGATCATCCGATCAAGACTTAAACTGAAAGGCTTTGTGACTGTTCTCATGGTGATTCAATATGTAAAATAAAATAAAATTTAAAAAGTTTCCCCAAAACACAAAAGTCCAGGTCCAGATAAATTCATTATTAATTTGTTCAAACCTTTACAGAAGAGCTTTTGCCAATCCTTTTCAGGCTCTTTCATGAAATCAAAGAAACAAACACTCCCAGTTTCTATGAATCAAATATTATTCTGACACCAAAAGTAGACAAAAGCACCAAACATACATACAAAAATAATTACAAATTGATAACCCTGATGAACACAGACTCAAAGATCCTCAGCAAAATACTAGCAAATTGAATCTAACAAATCATCAAAAAGATCAGACATGATGACTAAGGAGGATTCATTCTGGGGATGCAAGGATGGTTTAACAAATACAAGTCAATAAATATAATACACTATATCAACACAGAAAGAATAAAAACCATCTGATCAGAAGACAATAGATGCAGATAAAGCATTTGATGAGACCCAGCATCCATTCATGATAAAAAGCTTTTGATAAAATGGAAATTGAGAGAACTCTCCTCAACATAGTCAAAACCATTTACCAGTCTCACAGCAACCATAAGACACAGTGGAGAAAAACTAAAAGCCTTCCCTCTAAAATCTGGCACAAGACAAGGTTGCCCACTCTCATACTTCTATTCAGTATAGTAGTAGCAGTAACTGCCATAACAATCAGACAAGAAAAAGGAGTCAGGTTCTCATTCACTATTTGCAGTTGATATTTTACTTAGAAAATTCTGAAAACTTATTTTAAAACTCCTAGAAATAACAGATTTGTAAAGTGACAGGCTATAAAATTTACATGCAAAGTTCCATGATTTCCTATATGCAAATAATTAAATAGGAGAGAAGAGAGAGAGAAATTTAAAATCATTCCAATCACAATAATGCCTCAGAAAATCAGGCAATCAAGTACCTATGAATCAGCCTAATTGGTTTAAGTATTATTTCTGGCCTTTAGTATTATTTTACTATTAAGCTTTTAAGAATTATTTTATTGGTTGTGCCAAGGTTCAAACCCAGGGCCTCATACACTGACTTACATCCCAGCCCAACAGTAACTTTTTTTTGTTTTTTGAGCCACACGCAGTAGTGTTCAGGGGTTATTCCTGGCACTGCTTACTGGACCATATGTGGTGGTAGGGATCAAACGCATGCAGGGCAAGCACCCTGCCTACTGTACTATCTCTCTGGTCTTAATAAATTTAATTTAAACCTTAATTCCCTTTTAGACAAAAACCCAGGCTTCAGGTTTTTTTCGCACATAAAGTCAAAGTTTTTTATACTTACCTATAAAAGTTGATGGACTTTCCTGCAAGTTGATGGACTCAATTATGACAATTACACTTTTTTACTCTGATACTCAGACTGTGTTGTAATTTTGTTCAAATTATAAGTACTTTTTAAATTCATCTGATAAGACAGTTGAAGACAAGAAAAACACATGGTGATGAAAAACAAAAATCCTTAGTAAATATATACAATCACAGAAATCTGTTACTTGCCATTAATATATATATATTACCAGAAGCAGTTAAGAAATCAGTTATTATTTTAATCCTTTCCTCCTTTAATCTCACCTGAAAAGTACATATACCAGGGTAGCAATCAAAGCAAAACTGACCACAACTGCCACAAGTACTTGGTCACTGACTCCTTCTATAACTGAATCATCATCCAGTTTCAAACTCTGAACTTCAACTTGGTATCTGGCCATTCCAGGTCTAAAAGATAAAAGAAAAAGATCAAGTTATAAATGATAGTGAAAAAAACCTAAAATACATGAATAAAAACAATATAACTGACTTCTGTTAGCATTAAAAACACAAATGAAAACCCCTCAACACTCAGAGCAGACAAAAAGCTGAATAGTACAGGCAAAACTTAATTTAACTTGGGTCATTTCTTCAACTCGTAAAAATATGCAAAACTTAAATGTTTCCCCAGATTTATCTGATATAACCAATAAAAAAATTCTCTTATCAGTAAATTCTCATATATGATCAATCGCTTTGAAGAATAAACATTGCTGCTTTTATTCCATGTTTTGGTTTGTGTGTTCTTGGTTTACATATTGTTAGAGGTAAAGATAAAGGTAAAGGCCCCCCCGTTGATCGTCGATTTGCTCGAGCGGGCCCAGTAACATCTCCATTGGAGACTTTGTTGTTACTGTGTCTGGCATATTGATTACTCTCGGTAGCTTGCCGGGCTCTCCGAGAGGGGCGGAGGAATCGAATTCGGGTTGGCCATGTTGGCCGCTTGTAAGGCGAACGCCCTACCCACTGTGCTATGTTAACTAGTACTTCCCACTGACTTTATTTTGGTTATTCCTGAACTTCTGATGCTTCTGATGTTGTAGTGTTCACTTAAAGTAGGTTAAGTGCTCATATAAATAAAACTTTAATGAGGATTAAGTTCTTTAAAGTTTTTCAGACGTTATTTTAGGGACTTCAAAATTCTATTTCCTTTAAGAAAAGAAAAACACTGTAAATTATCTACAAGTTACTATAATTTCTTATTTTGTGTAATTTAAAATTTTCCTCAAACTCTTTGTAAAAAGGTATTTCTCATGCCCAACTGTTCTTTTCTTTTTGTGTATTTTGTTTTGGGGCCAAACCCTGGGGTGCTCAGAGGTTACTCCTGGCTTTGCGCTCAGGAATATACTCTTGGTGATGTTCAGGGAACCACTGGAATGTTGAGGATGAAACCCAGGTTATCCATGTACAAGGCCTGTCCACTGTACTATCACTTTGGCCCAACTGTTTCCTTACTTGAATGCCAAACAATTCTTTTATTTTTTTTTAATTTTTAATTTTTTTAATTAGTGAGACACCATGAGGTACAGTTGTAGACTTACAAACTTTCGTGCTTAGATTTCAGTTATACTATGATCAAGAACCCATCCCTCCACCAGTGCCCATTCTACACCACCAATGAACCCAGTAGCCCTCTCACCCCCCCACCCCGCCCACCTCTGTGGCAGGGCATTCCCTTTTGCTCTCTCTTTCCTTTAGGGTGTTGTGGTTTGCAATAGAGGTATTGAGTGGCCATCGTTTTCGGTCAATATACTTTCAGCACACATCTCCCATCCTGGGCAGGTCCTCCAAACACCCTTTATTTGGTGTTCCTTTCTCTATCTGAGCTGCCTTTTCCCCTAGAACGTGCTGCCGGCTTCCAAGCTGTGGAGCAGACCTCCTGGTACTTATCTCAACTATTCTTGGGTGTTCGTCTCCCATTCTGTTACTCTATATTCCCCAGATGAGTGCAGTCTTTGTCTGTCCCTCTCTTTCTGATTCATTTCATTTAGCAAGATACTTTCCAGGTAGAACGACTTGTATGCAAATTTCATGACTTCATCTTTTATAACAGCTGCATAGTATTCCATTGTATAGATGTACCAAAGTTTCTTTAACCAGTCATCTGTTCTTGGGCACTTGGGTTTTTTCCAAATTTTGGCTATTGTGAACAGTGCAGCAATGAACATAGGAGTGCAGATGTCATTTCGACTATACTTTTTTGCCTCTCCGGGATATATTCCCAGGAGTGGTATTGCTGGGTCAAATGGGAGCTCATTTTTAATTTTTTGGAAATCATTCATACTATTTTCCAAATTGATAGCACAGCAATAGGGCGTTTGCCTTGCATGTGGCCAGCCCAGCTGACCCGGATTCAATTCCTCTGTCCCTCTTGGAGAGCTGGGCAAGCTATCGAAAGTATCTCGATATGCCAAACACAGTAACAAGAAGTCTCACAATGGAGACATTACTGGGCCTGCTTGAGCAAATTGATGAACAGGAGGACAGTGCTACTATTTTCCAAAAGGGGTGAACCAGTTGTAATGCCAAACAATTCTTCAAGCAAATAAGACTTGAAGACATGACTCTTCTCTATCATAATACTCCATGTGTTATAAAATCTGTCATTTATGGATAAGGAAGAAATAAATGATAGACATATGTATGACTATATATAGTAAATATCCCTGTATTACCTAGCAATAGTAGCATCTAATAAAAGTTTAAATAAGACTGACTTCCAGTGTTCATAATTTAAGAAGCAGAAGACATTTAGCTATAAACATTTTTATCTATACGAAGGCTACTTGAACTAATGAAAATCCTAATGCTTTAAAAGCAATTAGCCTCACCTGGAACTAAGCTCAGCTTATAGGTCAGAATTCTTTGAATTGCCTGGGATATGGAATCACTCTGAGCTTGCATTTCCTTATGAAGATAAAATGGATATGAAACTGTCCTTTAAACTGCACTTCCCACATATTTAGACAAATATTGGTAATTCCCAATTTCTATAGTTATGAGAAGAGATAGCCCAAACACAGTTATCCAAATAACAGGTAATTGTTTCAAGAGAGTAAAATGTAGTCTTTCAAGACACAGAAAAAGGAAATGTTAAATTAAATGTGAGACTGTTAATAATTTAGATTAAAGGTGAAGAACATGGCTCAGCTTGTAGTACAGGCCTTCTCTGTGTGAGGCCCTTGGTTCAGTCCTTGGGATTACAGATTCCTCACCCAGCCTCACTTGGAGTATCTTCTGCAACTAAGAAAACAACAAAATAAAATAGAATGATTTATTTATAGAACTTACTGTACTAAAAGTCTATCCATTGTCAGATGAGTTTGGCCGACCCGAGTTCTATTCCTCCGCCCCTCTCGGAGAGCCCGGCAAGCTACCAAGAGTATTCGATATGCCAGACACAGTAACAACAAAGTCTCCAATGGAGACGTTACTGGGCCCGCTCGAGCAAATCGACGATCAACGGGAGGGCCTTTAGGAGGGATAACTGAGTATAATTATATCTTTAAAAAGTTTCTGAACCTGATGCTAGTAAGAAAATAACATACTCTTTCAAGGAGACCCCATCAAAGACAGCTTTCATATGCTGTATGCAGAGCAATAGTTTTGTCTATCAGGAACTTTCTAATGACAGGTTTCAAATATCCATTATTAAGGTCCACACTGGGAAACTCAGATACAAATTAAATTGTCAGATACAATTTAATAAAAACTTCATTTTTATTAAAAAGAACAGTCAACTTATATTGAAGAGCCTCAAATTACCTAAAATGAGTCATGTGGTCAATTTAGACTTTTATTTCATCAGACTTCCTCTTTTTAAATTAGAGATGCTATGACTGTGTCAAAAATCCTCAAGGTTATGAGAAATACTTGCCACTCTTCATAACCAAAATGTTATTCCCTGTGTCAGAATCTGTAGCCTTCAATTACTAAGTCTACTTACTTCAGAGTTGTGAGAATTTTCTGCTATGCATAGGCAGTTTACTACTTTCTAGTACTACTTCCTACTATTTTGGTGATATTTTTTGTTTCTTTCAGGTGTAATGGTGGAAATGTGACTAAATCCTACTATACAAAATTATATGTGTATATATTACAATTAACAGTTCTCAGTTAATGTCATCAACAGGTTCTTAGAAACCATGACGTTAAGTGAGACTACATAATGAAACCAATTTTATCATTAGCTAATTGATATAAATAAGAGTTTTAAACTCCCTGTGGCATATTTGTGACCACAAAACCCAGTCAACTTAATGAAGGAACTTTCTAATGAAGGAACTTTCTAATGACTTTCAAACACTTCTAAAGTTAAATTATTTGCATTCTATCATTTTCATCCCACTTTTTCCAGTTCAGAGCTATGTGTGACTAAATTTTATCTTGACAGCTCTGAGCTCAAGGTGAGCACCAACCTTGAACAGGATGCTCTTCATCACAAAACACACTCATACCCACACTTGTTCCAACTAGAACAATTTAGATAGACCAGTGAAACTTAAGTGTCTATCTTTGGGCTGTGGGAGAAATTGATATCCTGGAGAATACCCATGCAGATCTAGGAAGAATGGGGGAACTCCGTGCACAGTGGTTCAGGCAGGGGATCTTCCCCCCCCCCCCTTCCCCGCATGGTTACAGTAAAACAAAACAGAACAAAATATATGGCAGCATGCATTCACCATTTACACAACTGCATCCTCAAGATACTACCTCATACACTTCCAATAATTCAGAGACTTCCCCCCAAACTTTAATACATGATCGTGTCATTTGTATTACTTCACAGCAAAAGTTCCCAATGCTGTTGAAATGTTACTTATTTCCACAAATTCTGGAAAAACAAAACAAACAAAAAAATTTTAATGGTCTTACAACTGAAAGAAGAAAGGAGGGAGGGACTGCTGATAAATTTCTGGAAGAAACAGAAAGGTCATTTGCAGTTTCCTGGTGTGGATAGCCTTAAATCCAGGCTTCTTAAATGGAGAACTACTGATGGCATCTGACCTATATGTTGGAACCTTAAAAATTTCAACTTCTAACATTAGTTTTTCTCTTATAATCACGTTTTTGAAAATGAGCTATAGGGGACAGAAGATAGTCTAGAGGTTAGTTTGATTCCTGGCGCCACATGGTTCCCTCACATCACTGAGTACAGCCCTCAAGGCTTCCAAGCCCCAACACCATGTCGCACTACATTGAAATGACTGGCAAGATACACCAGTGGGGTCCTATCCCCACCCCACTATTTTAAAATTAAAAGCTGTAGGTCACGGTCACAGTCCTCCCGTTATTCATCGATTTGCTCGAGCAGGCCCAGTAACATCTCCATCGTGAGACTTGTTACTGTGTTTGGCATAGCGAGTAAGTCACAGGTAGCTTGCCAGGCTTTGCCGTGTGGGCGAGATATTCTCTGTAGCTTGCCAGGCTCTCCGGGAGGGGCGGAGGAATCAAACTCGGGTAGGCCATGTTGGCTGCGTGCAAGGCAAATGCCCTATCCGCTGTGCTATTGCTCCAGCCCAAAAGCTGTAGGAGTAATCAAAAATTTCTAACACCATGTAACTTTGGTAAGAGACCAATCTGAGATGACAGGTAATATATAATTTTTTTAATTGAAGATATGACATAGTTTCTAAACAGTGCTGGGGGCCAGAGCCATAATACAGTGGGTAAAGCTTTTGCCTTGCATGCGGCCAACCAGCTTCTATTCCCTGCACCCCACATGGTGCCTGAGCCTGCCATGAGTGATCCCTGAATATAGAGCCAGGAGTAAGCCCTGAGCACCACCAGAAAAAAAGAAAAATAAAATAATAAAAATAAACCAGTGCCTTTATCCCATACCCCAGGTTCTCAAGTCAAATCCAAGCATTGTGGCTTAAACTTGTAATAGCCTGGGAGTTCAGTTTTAATTCTGCTATAATGCGACCTCAATCTCTTAGAATCTCTCAATCTCTGCAAAATGTAAAAGCTCGACTTAAGCATTTCATAAGTTCCTTCCACCACTACATATTTCTGATTAAATTTTCTGGAATAGAAAAAAAAAACTGAAAGGTCAGGAAAGGTATAAATACAAAGGTTAGAAGCAGGGAACAGGACAGGGAGAGAAGACCTTCATCTTTACCAAGATATAGCTCAAGTTAATTGTTTTTGTGTATTTAATAATAAAATTGAAATGCAGAACTCACTTCCTTCCTTGAGATTAAAAATGGCTTCAGTTCTAAAAGTTCTAAAAACATCTCCACTCCCAATCTTACTTAACAACCTAGTCACACTATTTCCTAATGGACCTTCTGAAGATCTCAATGAAGGACACTGCAAAGTGCCCACACTGACCTCAGAGCCTAGGTAGGGCAGTCATATATAGGGAACATGACATGCTATAGAGACCACTAAATGTTACCTACATGAACCCTAAAAGCAAGGTTCTATTACATGTAAAGAACTAAGGGCTTAAGAAATAGTTCATGGGGCTGGAGCGATAGCAGTGGGTAGGGCGTTTGCCTCACACGAGGCCAACCCAGGTTCAATTCCCAGCATCCCTGAGCACCACCAGGAGTAATTACTGAGTGCAGAGCCAGGAGTGTGCCTGAGCATTGCCGGGTGTGACCCAAAAATAAAAAAAAAAAGAAAGAGTTCAGGGGCCAAGACACTTGCACATGGTCTCCTCGGTGCCACTGAAAGTCACCCTGGAGCACAGAGCCAGGAGTCCTGGCACCTCTCTGAATAGTAAGAAAATAGAATATCTAATCTAAGTCATAAACTACTGCCAAATGTGGAAAAGTTACTAGTATTGTTTTTAATTATTTGAGATTTATGGAAACAATGTCTTCCTCGGAGATGCTCTACATAGCACCTCTAAACTTTAATCAAAGTTTTAGTATTTACTTCCTGGAATAAATTTGGGGGCACTTTATCCAAGATACTACCATTTGTGTTTTACTTGAATCAAATAAAAACTAGATGTAGCCTCCAACTAGAATTAGAGAGATCCTAAAACAAGAACCACTCACCTCTCCTTGATCCTTTCCAGATCTTTCAGAAGGAAAAAAAAACCCAAAAGCATAAAAGCAAAATACAAGAAATTCCAGAACTTCCAAAATAAAAACTCAAAGACTTCTACCTATTTATGTAAAATACTTGGTAAACACTATCAACATTTACATCAAGAGGTTTTTAGTATAATTTCCATCATTAAGGGTAGTTGGTGCTACAAAATTAAACATCAAGAATACCATTATATCGTTAAGTGTCAAGCTTGGAAAAAGAGGTTTAGATCAACAATGGTAATGCTCTGAAAACCTGAGCAGCTGGATTAGAGGTGCTCATTATGTCAGAGCCCCTTCAAAAATGGCTAGCATCTACTCCACATCCACAGGCAAGTGGTACCTCAAGGGTAAGTCAGTGTAACATGTACTTACCAACTTCAGATACCTCACAAGGATAATAGTCACTTAGAGTATTAGGGATTCTACAAAAACAGCTAACATGGAATGTAGGAACTCTGGTTTGACAAAGATCCAGAGGCAACAAAGTTGGGTGAGATACATACTTATCAATGGGGGGAGGTGTATTTGGGGGCCACACCCAGCAGTGCTCAGGGTTTACTTACTTCTGGCTTTGAGCTCAGGGATCACTCCTGAGGAGCTTTGATGAGATGTCATCAAACTAACTTGCTGGACAGTCTCTCTGGTGCTATCCTTATTTTTTAAAGGGTTCTCTATCTTAGTGTGAGAATGTTTGAAGAAAAATCACTAAGACTCCAGTTAAGATTATTTTTATATTTACAAAATAATCAGACGTGAACCGTTAACTAGTATTGTGAAAGGCACCCTTAAAAACTCAATCGTCTCTTCAGTTTTGAACTCTCAATGATAAAACCTGACCTTGATGGGGAAAAGGGATGGAAAGAAGGGCTCCAGGAACTGCAAACGAAAGCTAAGTATGTGACTTGGGAGGAAATTAACTTTGAGCATCACAAAAAAATTTTAATCACGATCTGCTAAAATTATGTTAACCCTATAACCTAACAAATCTCATGCATGTATCCTAAACAGTCTCATAAACATCCACATATAAGAATGCTTATGGAAAAAAAAGTATAAGCATTGTTCTTAGTAGCCCCATAACTGTCAAGCAGAAAGGATACCAGATGTCACCAGCACACAGTGGAATACTAGATAGTAATGAAAACGAACTAGATTGCCCAATTTAATACTGAAAGCTACTAAATAACACGAATCCCCTCACAATCGTTCAACGGGCAAAGTCTACTATAGTCTTCAGACAGGCAGAACATGGGCCTAAAGCGACAAGGAAAAGCAGCGGTCACCGAAGTGCCTGGGAGGGAGGGTGGTGGCCCTGCTGAGGGGTCCGCGTCGCTGCTCCGCTCTAGTCTCGGCGTGGGGCTGTCCCTTCCCCGCGCGTGTGCGCTGCGCGGCGCCTCACGCCGTCCTGCTCCCGGCTCTCCACAGGCCGGCGTCCGCGGGCCGCCCTCCCCGCGACCCCCGCGCGGCCGCCGTGTGGGAGGGGGCGTACCTCTCCGCAGCCGAGGCTACTCGCCGGGCCGGACACGGGAGCCGGGACCAGTTCCGGGGCCGCCCCCGCCCCTCCCCGCAGCCACTCGCTGGCTCTGGTAATTTGGAGGGCGGCGCGGGCGCACGCGCACCGCCTGGCTTCCGCGAGGACCCGCCGCCGCCGAGGCCAGGCGCGCGCGCCGCGACACGCAGAGGGCCGGGACCGGGCACGCGCGCGGCGAGGAGGCGTGGCCGGGGCCGCGAGTCTGCGCAGTGGCTGTCGGGAGGAGGCTGTGGGGCGGGGGGCCAGGCCGGGGGCGAGCGCGGCGGGGAGGCGTGGCCTGGGGCGCGAGTCTGCGCAGTGGCTGTCCGTAGGAGACGGTGGGGAGGACGGAGACGAGGGGCGGTGGGCGGGGCTGGGGGCGCGCGCGCGCGAGTTTGCGCAGTAACTTTCGGGAGGAGGCTGTGAAGGGCTGGGGACAGAGACGCGCGCGGCGGGAAGGCGTGGCCCGGAGCATGAGTCTGCGCAGTGGCCCTCGGAGGAGGGGGGAGAGGAGGGGCGAGAGGGGGCGGGGCCGGAGCCGGAGACGCGGCTGGAGACGCGGCCGGGCGCGCGCGCGCGTCCCCGAGTGAAAGGAGAAGGAGGGGCCCGGGGTGACGGTGCGGGCGGCCGGCAGTGCTGGGGCGAGAGTCGGCGGCCCGGGGTCGGAGCGCTGCGCGGACCTCAGCGCGGTTTCCGGCGGGCGGGCAGGCGCCGCCGAGCCCCGCGGGGAAGATGTTCAGCGTGGAGTCGGTGGAGCGGGTGGAGCTGTGCGAGAGCCTCCTCACTTGGGTACGTGTGCCCGGCTCGGAGGGACCCTCTCCTCAGGCCGTCCGCCGTCACATCCGGGCGGCCGGGCCGCGCCCCGAGAGGACACCGCCGGCCGCTGTGGAGGGCTCTGGGCCCGGGACACCGCGACGGCGCGCGACCCGGACGGCGCTCGGACCCGGGGCCGACGCCGGCGCCTTTGTTGTGACGTCCGCGGAGGATGAGGCTTTCCGTGGAGCGGGCAGGGCAGGACGCGGCAGGCGGGGGGGCAGGCGCGCCAGGCGAGGAGAGAGTCGATGCGGTGCAGGTGCTTATTAAGGCGGCGAGGCCGGACGGCCGCCGCCGGAGTCGGTGAGGGAGCCCGAGCCCGGGTGCCGAGCCTCCGTGATCACATCGTACGCGAATACGGGTCAAATTCTGATGCCAGCGATCGTGCCTTTAAGAGCAGGACAAAAACGCTTGTTTCATTAGTTGGTTTTATTTTTCAGACTTTGGGGTGTGTGTGTGTGAGAGAGAAGCAGAGAGAGAGAGAGAGAGAAGTTTGCAGACACGATTTTCTCAAACTGGTGTGTGTATGTTCTGCAGAGCCATAGGATAAAACTAGTGATTTTTGTGGGAGGAGGGGATTGTTGCTCATTGCTGGAAACGCTAAATGTCATTTCTAGAATCTTATTCGTCTTTAGAGGTGGCAGCAGTGCTTGTATTAATTTCAAAGGTAAAACCGATGTCCAAGAAATTCTTGTTAGCAGCTACAAGTTCAGATCCCTGGAATGGAGATGTCATTCCTGAGGGCAGGAACGATTTAGAGTTTTGCCTTAGGTTGGTTGTAAAAGAGGCGATGACAGTAGTCTGGTATCTTCATAACTAATGTCATGAATCAAATTTTGTCTTCCGAAACAACATATACAGTGATAGAACTTGAAATAATTCTGTAACTTTTATGTTAGGCCACTGGTGGGGTTTCAGAAAGTTTGCAATAGCATTTAGTTTACTTAGGACTCACATTGCAGTTAGTTCCTTCCACCCTGTTACACAGAAATAGGACAGGGATGAAGGAGTTAATTGAATCGGAAGTAGGACTGCAATTGTTTAAAATGTAGTAAAAGTCATGCAAACAAAACGGAATATATGAGCATCTGCAGAAAGGTGACTCTTGATAGTTTCTTGAGAAACGTTATAGGAAGTTTGAAGGGATCCTGACTGAAGCAGGCAGCATGGGAGAATCAGTTTAGAGTAAGATAAAATGTCAAGAAAGCAGACAATCCCAATTATCATCTTGTAGAGACCAAGTAATATGGCTTTATAGAAAAGACTTTTTTGAAATGTCACTGAAAGAATCATCAAGGAAAAATTCTGGTTGATAAGATTAGAGATTATCAGTGACAGAACTGGAGAGCAGAGTCCAGAGAGAGTTGTACAATTCTGAGATTTGGAAACATTTAAAAACCTTGTGCAGTGAAATGTTTCAGATTGAAATTGAGTTTAAATAGTGGATTTGTTCTCTTGTAGTTATCCATTGAAAAAGTAGAATAAATGTTCGTGTGGAATTAATTTTTTGCACAATTAATAAAAATGATTAAGGCACCACAATTTACAAAGTTATTCATAGTTGCATTTCAGGCATGCACTCTTCCAACATCAATCCCATCAGCAGCCTCAACATTTTTCCACCACTGTCCCCAGTTTCCCTCCCACCTTCCAGCCTGCCTCATTGACAAGCATGTTTTAAAATTAGATTGCTATAGTTTAGACCTCAAAGTTTCAGTTTTGTTGGTTCTGTGGTTTGGATATGCCACCTCTGTGTCCAAGGCCTCTGACTGTTACCTCCGGTCTCCCACTTACCGCCAATCCTTATTTTTTGGTTGCTGAAAATGGACATTTAATGTCATTTCTCACCTCATACCCTTGAGCCCAGATTAATAACTAAATATAAATCCCAAATTATATGCTGAGCTAAAAAGTACATGATATACTCCAAAGAGAAGACTTATTTAAAATAATTTCTTCTAATTTACATAAACTTTTAGTTAGGTATGTGGTTTCTTCACTTACGGCAAATTATAAGTTGACTGTAACACTTAGCAAAACCAAGCAAACAAACAGACGAACACAGTTGTCGGTGTCAGAGACTGAAAGTTCATTCTGAACCAGTTAGTCTTTGGGCTGACAGACAGTCTTGATGCCTTAAAGAGGCTCCCTATTCAGTTACTGAATATCATACTTAGGATTCTGAATGTCGGATCTTTATTTTTATTACATAGCATTTAGTTTAGATATATAGTAAATCTTAGAAATTATTCCACTAGAAATGGTTAAAATAATAAAAACTAAGATGCTTAAAGGGATAACTAATATCCACCTGTGCAGAATTTATTTCTGTGAAAAGTCTCATTGCCCCAAATGCTGACTGATTTTGCTATTGTATCAGTTTGCTGGTCCAAGGACAAAATGTTCTGATTTTGTTGTTATTGAAAGGAATACTTATGAAAAGACAAAGTAACATCCTACCATTGGAAAACATCTTAAGCTTAACTTCCACATCCAAGTTTATGCGAGCAAGTTCAGCAGGATGTGCTTGAATTTTTCCATTATACTCCTAGCCCCACCCTCTAAGTCAAATGTTTCTTACCTCTTTAGAAAATTTGCCTTGCCTATATTATGCCTCTAAAGACCTATTTCTTGAAATGTACGTGTGAAGATTGTTCTTTATTTAGTTTTAGAAACTGTAAAACCAGAAAAATCTGGAATGCTATTAGTTAACAATTAGACAAGAAAACTTAAGTGAAAAAAAATCATTTTAGGAGCCAGAGTAGTAGTACAGCAGGTAGGATATTTTCCTTGCACATGGTCAACCCAGGTTCCATCCCCAGCATTCCATATGGTCCCCCAAACCCTCCAGGAGTAATTTATGAGCACAGAGCCAGGAGTAAGCCCAGAGTACTGCGGGGTGTGACCCAAAAATTTTTTTTGATTTTTTTTTTAAAGAATCATTTAATAGGCTCAATAAATTTCTTCTATGAAATCTAGCAGTGCTAACTAAATTTAATATTCTTATAAATTTCATATGGAATATTGTTCTATAATGGTATCTTCCTCATTCCATTCTGCTGTGCCTAACAGATGTATAGAAGATAAAATACATCTTTAAGCTTTAATTTTCTTATTTTGGGGAGGGGTCATATCCTTCGGTGCTTAAGGCTTAGTTTTGGCTTTGCGCTCAGGGATCACGTCTGGTGAAACGTGGGGATCGTATTCACTTTTTAAATCAAAAGTTATTTTAGCATAATAGGAGTATAAGTTCTGCAATTGTTTCATTCTCACTGGGTGACTTGCAGGAAGTAATTTCACTGTTGTGTTTCAATTGCATCCAGTTAAACACTATAAAGTGATTTGTTGGGTTTAGTATTGATCAGCATTATTGAAGGACTTGAAGGTCTGAGCTATGATCTGATATTTTGCATTTCTAAGGATTTTTGTTTGTTTGTTTTTATGTAATGCTATTTTGGGTGTCTCAGGACTTGGAAGTACTTGGAGACTGCTAGGCCAGGGAAGAAACTTAGTGATGATAGAGCACTTGCCTTGCCTTGCCTTGCCTTTGCATGCATGAGACCAGAAGTTTTTTTGTTTTGATCTCTCTCTCTCTCTCTCTCTCTCTTACTCCCTCCCTCCTCCTGCCTCCCTCCCTTACTCCCTCCCTCCCCCTCTCTTCATTTTATTTTTTGTGATACTGGGTTGAAACCTTGGGCCTCACACCTGCCAAGGCAACTTTTACTACTGATCTGTATTCCTGGCCCCAACCTTAGCATTAACATTTGGGCCTGGATAATTGTTTTATGTGAGTCTTGTGTTGTAGGACATAGCATAGTAACATCCCTGAAACTTACTTCCTAGATGCCAATGGTACCTAAACTGTTAAAACCTAAACTGTTTCTTAGGGAGTGAAAATGCCCCTAGTTGAAAACCCACTTGTTCTAGAGATACTAATTTTCAGTGCTTTCATCTCTTATTCTTCTCGTACTTTTGTGTGATGAGGTGAGGTGGAGGTAGGGAGCTATTAAAAGAGCGTCTTAGGGTTATAAAAGAAAATGACCATTCACACTCTTTAATTTTTATTCTTATTCTAGTCTGAAATAGAGATGTTAACTCAGTATATTAGCACTGGCAGGTGATAGGTTGTGGGTTTTTTGTTTTGGGTTTTTTTTTTTTTGCAAGGGCTGGGGGGCTCCCAAATAGTTCTCAGGGGTCCAGGCCACTACCATAATACTTGGTCAACTGGGTCAACACGACATCCCAGCGGTGCAATACTCATTAGGCCCAATAGTGCTGAGGACACACCAGAAGTGCTTGAGGACCTCTAGGATTATCCTGAGAGATGCTTAGAGAACCATAAGGTGCTGAGTATTGAACTAGTGGGTGCCAGGGATTAATCTTGGGCCCTCAAGCATGCAAGGTGTGTGTTCCAGTATTTTGTGCTGTCTTCCCCAGCCTAGTAATAACTTCAGTGTGTTTGAGTTTTTTAATTAATTCATGTCCTGAAATTTTTTAATTTTTTATTTTTTAAGACGTGGTGATTTACAAAGTTGAGCTTTAGACATACTATGTTCTGGCACCGGTGCCACCACCAGCCTCTCCCTCCAGTGCTTACTTAGCACTGTAGCAGTATGAACTTTAAATACTACAAATTCAAACACTACAAAACTCATGGCCTTGCTTAAAATCTCTCTATTGCTTTTAAAATAAAGACCTACTATGGATTAGACTTTTACACAATGTTGCCTACTTATTTAACCATGTATCACTTTTTCCTTCTTTTTCTCTTCACCTTTTCCATATCAGACTGCTTTTCATTGCTTAATTGCATCCTACTCTCTCCTCTGATCTTTGTTTTTACTTCCTATAAGCTATACATGCCTGCATCTGTTTGTGATTTATTTCCTATTAAATCCTGGTTGTATTACTGATTATTATTATTGTCTAGCTCCATGAGCTTACTTATAGAAGTAATTTAATATAGAAAGTACATTTGTGTTAAGTTTTTCTAATTCAAAATGCATTTAAAAATCAAAATAAGGAGTAAAGATATAGTATAGGGGATAAGGCCCTTGCCTTGCACCTAGCTGACCTGGTGCCTTATATGGTCTTGGGTCTCCTGCCTGTCCCCATCCCCAGTCCACCAGGAGTGATCCCTGGCTGCAGAACCTGCAGTAAGCCCTGTGCACTGTTGGGTATCCTCCCCAAACAAGCAAAAAAATTAATTCCAACTCCCAGGGTAGCATGATCACCGAAAGGCACATAGAGAATATATAAAGAGAATTGAATGTGGATCATTTTCTTCCTTTTTTTCTCCTTAGATCCAGACCTTTAATGTGGAAGCACCATGCCAGACTGTGGAAGATTTAACGAATGGGGTTGTGATGGCCCAGGTTCTTCAAAAGATGTAAGAATAAATTGTTTATTATATATGTATGTGTATGTATGTAACATCCAAAGCACATATAAAAAATTAAGAGTTTGTGTGAAATAGATGCTACAAGTAGAATAAGAACTGTAAGCAGTAGCAGTAATTGTGATGGTACATACTTGTTTGAGTACTCATTGCCTACATAACACTAACTGGTGTACCATATACCTGCTGTATACTCTTTACCTTTCTACAAATATACACACAGGCATACATACAATATGAACTCCAGACTCCAGAGAATGGCAGAGAATTTGTGTTGTCCATTGTTACGTTCTAGCATCTAGGGTAGTACCTGGCTTGGGTTAAGTCATATGAAAATGCCATTCTTGATAGATAAGTGTTTAAACCATTTTCTTACTGTTTGTCTACATCATGGTTGCTTGTGTTTATTGACTGATAAAAGAAAATAAATATTTATTTGGAATATTAAAGACATCGAACTCAGATCGGCCATGTACCAAGAGTATGTCGCTTGCACGGCAAAGCCTGGCAAGCTCCCCGTGATGTATTCGATATGCCAAACACAGTAACAGTTGTCACAATGAAGACGTTACTGGGCTTGCTCGAGCAAATCGATGAACAGTGACAGTGATTAAAGACATACCTTATTTTCTTCTACTTTGAAAACATGATGATGGTAAATTTGGTGTGATGTCAATTTCATAGGTGATTGGAGTCAAAGTGATTTGGGGAGATAATTTTGTCATTTGAAGACCTGAGCACTTAGCTATCGACTCGATATTAAAAATCTGCATATGATTAGCTGTTATTGCCTTTAGTTCTTTTGAGAATCAAGTAGATTCTAGTGTTGCTTACCATTTCAGAGAGTCTGTTTGCCTTTGGAATTGGGGGCTTGTACTTGAAAACTAATGTCAGTTTTGCAACTTACGTGCATGGTATGTGTATAGGCACACAGACTTAGAGAGACCTCGAGAATGCTCATTTGAAACCTGACCCCAGCCATGACTGTAGACTCTGAAAATAAGATGATCTCTGTGAGAGCTTGTGATTTTCATGGTCACCTCTGAGTGGTACCCTATTTATCTTAAGCCCTTAAATGGTTTTGAGGGTTTTTAGAGTTCACTGAAGTTCTTAGAAATTATTTGTGGGTGTGTATGTCCCTCCCTCTCTCCCTAATGAATACTTCTTCCTTAAAAGATAGTCATGATTCTGATTTATATGCCATTAACTAGTTTTTCCTGTTCTTGAATATCCTAACAATGAATATAGTATCTACATTTCACATTTGATTTTTTAAACTCAGCATAATCTCTTGAGATTTATGTTGTAAATTTTATTTACATATTTTAAATGTATAAAATATATTAAAAAAATTTTAATCCCTCCTTTGTCAATTTGAAATTCATTTTGCATCCAGAGTTGGTCATAGAAAGTTGAGAGCCACAAAAGGCACAATATTTGCAACAGGGTGTTTTTAAGGGAGAGGAGTGAATTAAGGAGAATGAGCGAATGGGCAACAGATTTTAATTTGCCATAAAGGAAAATTTGCTAGTGTAGCAGCTACTACAGATGAGAATATAGTGTAGTTATGAAAATTTTTAAGAGTTCTTTTTAACTTAGTTCCAGGAAGAGTAAACCCAAAATAGTAGGTCATAGATTTCTTGTCAAGGAAGGAATATTTGCAGACTTAATGGAATGTTGTGTCTACTCCTAAAGTAGGAAAGAAGGTTTAACTGGCCAAAGCAGAAGGGAAGGCGCATGGAAAGGCAGATGGAGTCAGACAAGAAAGTACACTGAGAAGCAGCTGAATTTTGAGGGTGGTAAGAATGTTAACGAGTTAATATTTTCAAAATTCTCTGGCTGCAGGTATAAAATTAACTGGAAGAGGCCAAAATGATGTTGGATGATCAGATTGGCAAGAAATTTGTAGTAATCAAAAGGGAGAAGATGGTATTTTGGACTAGGAGGTGGTAAAGGAAATGAAGACAAGTGCATGATAGAATGACAGTGGTACAGAAAATCAAATTTCGACGATTGAGATGTGGGTAGGTGAATAAATGGAAGATGTACAAATAGATATTTAAATTACTAATTTAAAAACCTACATGGAATAGGGTGTGTATATGTGAGAATGCTGAAAAGGGATTTTCTGCGAGCCAGGGCTGGATGTATTATGAATATAGTTTGGGGTTTTTGTTTTGTTTTATTTTCTATCTTCCCTTCCCTTTATTGCTACAATTGATGTGAAGTTTCATACATTTAGTTTTGTTCACCAAGCATCACACACTCTAGATTATATCTTAATTGCATATCTGCTTGCCAGGGTTTGTAGCACTCCTTTGATTATGATACTCATACGTGTACTGGGGCTGGAGCGATAGCACAGCGGTAGGACGTCTGCCTTGTGCACAGCTAGCCCGGCCGAGCCGGGTTCGATTCCTCTGCCCCTCTCGGAGAGCCTGGCAAGCTACCGAGAGTATCTCGCCCGCACGGCAAAGCCTGGCAAGCTACCCGTGGATATATTTGATATGCCAAACACAGTAACAACAAGTCTCAAAAATGGAGACGTTACTGGGCCCGCTCGAGCAAATCAGTGAACAACAGGAGGACAGTGTTTACATGTACTTGCTGGGGTACACATATCAGTGCTGGGGGAGGGTCCCAGATGCAAGATCTGTCCGAATTGTGCATAGTACATGTGAGCAGCACCGAATATTGATTTCATAGCATCAGGATTGCAAGGCAGAGAGACTCAGCCTTTGAACAATTCCCTGGGCCCCTCATGAATTTAGTCTGCGAGACACTGAATCTGAATGGTATTGAGACATCAGCAGAAAACTCCAAGTTAGAGTTGGCAAGAGATGGAAAAGGTTATTTATCTCTATTCGTGAACTGGTTGATAGTTCATAAGAGTACAAACTAGAGATACCAAATTTGGTATCTCTAACTGGAAGACACTGAATTTGTTACCTAGGGAAGTGTGGGGAAAGAAGAAAAAAATGAGTAGCCTAAGATTAGAAGAACTTTTATCAACCAGCAGAGGGAACAGAAAGGTGTGAGTTAAACCAGTAGAGATTGAGTGCAGAGAAAAGTGTTTTCATTTTTTCTGAACTAATTAGTGAAAAAACTGCATTTTTTCCCTAGTTTTACTAGAAATTATAAATGGATCTAAGTATGCTTTTTTTTTTTCATTTTATTTTCTTAAAGTTGGTCACAATAATTTTTTATACTCAACATTTCAACACCAGTCCCAACACCATTACACCTTCCCACCACCATTATTTAAAATTTTCTCACTGCCACCCAAACCTGCCCATAGGCAGATGCTAAATAATTTATTTTGTATTGCTTGTTATGAATAGTTCAGATGTCATGCGGCCATGAAAGCGGCCACATGCTCCTGGAATTCTAAAGTTTTTTTAATGTTTTAAGAAACATCTCTTTAACATGCCATTAATGCACTTAAATGACATGATTTTGATCTCTTTCGAGATTTTTTTTGTGGGTTTCTGAAGCAAAGCCGATAAATGAATTTGCATAGCTAAGCCCGAGGTGGTTTGTAGGCATGACTCCCACATATCTAACTTTAGCTGTTAATTTCTAGGAGTACTTGGTCCCAAGTTGTTGGGGTCCAACCAGAGGCACAGCAGCAATTTTGGGGTATCAGGAAGCCTGAAGGCTCCATCAGGCTGCTGATATACTCACCCCACAGGTACAGGTTGATCTGCTGGGCAGCACCGTACTCCCTTAGTATGTTTTCATTAATGAAATTTCTCTGGTTTCTAAGATGTCATAGAACCATACAGTACATTGCCTTTTCAGATTGGCATCTTTCTCATACGAATACTGTAGCACTGTCCTCCCGTTATTCACCGAGTTGCTCAAGCAGGCCCAGTAACGTCTCCTTCACCCCTGCCTTGTCACCTTGATAGGCACATTACAAAGAATCAGTAGTTGCCACTTCATCAGAGGGTTTCAGTTGCTTCTGTTATCTTTAAAAATATTTCTCACCATCCCATTTTTGTTATTTATTCCATTTCTTCTTATCACAACAAAACTTTTGGGTTTTTTTTGGTTCCCCCCCCTCTCCCCATCCCGCCCTGGAGACTCAGGGCCACTCCTGGTGCTAGGAGACAGAAGAGAGATGGGCAGGATCCGAGGTAGTGGGTGGATCCAGCTGAGTTAACAGCAAGCAAGAAAACATTATGTGTAGAGTCAACAGTGCTGTATGAAAGTATTGCAATTGTATGAAGGTATGAAAGTATTCTGCAATTGAAAATCTGTTTTCAATTGGCACCACATACCTCTGGTGGCTCCTCCAAGCTCCACCAGGAGAAATCCCTGAGAACAGCCAATAGTAAGCCCTGAGCATAGCCAGGTGTGGTCCGAAATCTAAAAAGAACAAAACCCAAAATCTACTGAGCAGTAAGATTTCAGTGTTAGGTGTATTTACCACAGTTTCAAAAGTAGATGGAATGCATGATTCTTAGACTATACATGGACAAACCAAAAAGACTTTAAGGCAAATGTAGGACATCAAAATATCAACAGAGTATTAAATGTTATCCTGGGAGTATCTCTATATTAAGTATGATACCAGATCTGTGTTTAAACTGGAAAGTGTCTTACTTAAATTTATGTATTTGTGCAGGTGATTTGGCAGGGGGCATCCTTTCTTGTTATTGTTGTGATGACATGGGTTGCACACTTAATTTCAGTGCTACCATTGTGGTGTTCACACACACTTGAGTTGTTATATGCCTAAGGACGCATGCTTTGTTATGCCCCAGTGATCACAGCAGCAGTGTTGACAGGATTATACTCAGCATGTGGGAAAGCCTTGAATTAGATTCACAGCCTTGGGTATGAAAGGTAAACGTTCTCCCCCACTGAAACATATCCTCATACAATCTTATATGTGTGTATGTGTGCGTGTATATATGTGTGTGTGTATATATATATATATATATACACACATACACACATATACATACTTATCTGTATTGTTTTTT